GCTTCCTGCCTGCCTGGGTCCAGGGATTGTGAGCCCCCGAAACTGCACCCGTGTGCATACGTGTGTGAGTGCATGCGTGTGTGCATGGTGTACATGTGTGCACGTGTGTGCCTGTGTGTGCATGTGTGGGTGCACGTGTGTGCCTGTGTATGTGCCTGTGCACGCATGCACGTGAGCGTACTTGTACGTGTGCGTGCATCCATATGCAGACGTGTACATGTTATGTGTGCACATGTGTGTAGGTGTTTTCTGAGAAAAAGCCCACAGTTTTTACCTGATTTTCCAAGGGGTCTTGACCCTTCAAAAGAGCAAGACCTTCTCCATTGGTGAGTCCGCTTGTGCGGTGGGGACAGGCCCCGGAGTCAGCGCGGGGAGTCTGGGGCGTGTTCCTTCCTGAAGCTGAGAACGACTGTGAGTTCATTCAAACACTGAGAGATGGCGTCCTGCCACGCGGGCCACAGGCCACATGGCTATAGCACCGCTCTGTGCCGGGGCCTCAGGCTCAGGCCTCACCTCTCTCCAGAGGCTAGGACAACTGGATCCACGCTGATGGAAAGGCCTCGACTGTCCTCGGGAGGCGCCCCTGCTCCGTGGGCTGCACCTCTGGGATTTCCTTCTGACCCCCAGGAGGCTCTGCACGTCTCCCATGACACGGAGCAGGTATACAGTCCATTACCCGGAGCTGACATGGCAAGGAGGCCAGCAAGGATGGAGCCGGCCACCAAGAGGGTGCCCGTGGGGCCCTCAGCCTGTCCCAGGCTTGGCCTCAGGATGTGCCGTCCCGCGAGCCTCGAGGTCCCCTCTGGGCCCCGTTCATTGTTGGGGCAGCGATCCTGATCCACGCCTGCAGCCCTTGCACACCTGTCGCCAGCTGGGTTTCGAGAGGGCAGACCAGATACGGCCGGGCGCATGGCAGGAGCTCCCCCACGTAGACACGGAGGAGAGTGGGATGCTGGAGTAAGGCTGAGGCTGGGGCAGATCATGCTTCCCAGGGAGGGTGCATGCGGCCAGGGAACAGCGTGTCTGGGGCCGCGCTGGTGCCGAGGTGACTGTGGGGGTGGGGGTGGGGTCGTCCCGCTCAGTCACCTGCACCTAATCACACTACGTTCACCGTGTGGCCTGCCCTCCTCAGGGGGCCTTGCCATGCTGTCCCCTTCTTCCCTTAACCCAGCCCCACCCGTCTGTCAAGGTCTGATTCCCAAAGCTGCCTCCTCCATGAAGGCCACAGCGGCCCTGGCTCAGGAAAGAGGAGTCAGCCCCTCAGCCCCAACCACAGCTCCTGTTCTCCTCTCTTGCCTCCATGCTCAGGCCTCTGGAGGAAGGACGGCCTCCACTGTCCCTCGTCTCTGTGGCCGGCAGCGAACCTTGCACGAACTGCCCAGTCTCGGAGAACTTAGGCTTTTGGAGGCGCCCACAGGCAGCTTTGCCCTGGCTGCCATCTGGTCCCGCGGCTCAGGTAGTGGGGCCTCGATTCCCTTCTGGGTGGGAAGCCACCCTTTCCCCTGGTCCGTCCACGTGGCCGCAGGGGGCATGTGACAGAGACCTGGCTGCTCAGAGCCCAGGGTTAGGTCAGGATGGGCTTGTTACAGACCAGGGAGCAGCCCCAGGGCCCCTGGGCAGTTGCCCGACACCATAGGGCCAGGGCTCCTGCCACATAGTGTGTCACCAGGTGGGGGCACTGCCTGAAAGGAGCGAGACGAGGAAGAAACCAGGGCTGGGGATGCGGGTGCCACAGAGGCCACGGGGCCACGGTGGGGCAAGCACCTGCACAGGCACGTCCAGCTCAGCAGCGGCCCGGCGCAAGTGAGGCCGCGGGGCGCCCGTGTGGCGTGGGTGCTGGCTGCTGGCTGTGGGAGGAGCCCAGCCGACACCAGGGCCCCATGGGCCACACAGTCTCTGCCTCAGTGTTCGCGTGAGCAACAAGGCACCCGGAGCGCAGTGGGCACTCAGCGGCGGACGGCTGCTCTGTGGGTGGGTGCTGGGTCCAGCCCCAGCAGGGGGGCAGGGGGCGGGGTATGGGGCTGTCGGGAGGCTAGGGCGCGTGTCCTCACCCTCTCCGTGAGCCCAGAGCAGAGCAGGGTGCCTGGCGTGGGGCAGGACCACCATCAATACTTAAAGATGGAGGCTGTGTTCACGGGAGCGTCTGCTACGGCCTGGAGACCATCCCAGCATCGCCTGCTCGGCGGACAGACAGACGGTCACAGAACACAGACCACACCGAGTGTGGTTCTGCCAACGTGCCCATGAGACCCCGGGCAGACTGGTTCTGCGGCCCCGATGCCTCATGTGCACAGTGAGACTAGCGGTATTTCCTCCTCTGCCTCAAGGATGTGGCCCGGCTCGGAAAGTCCTGGCGGCTCATGGGAGCACTGTCCAGAGGCCACAGGGGACGTCCATCTGTGGCAGCCGAAGACCAGCCGGAGGTGCTGCTAAGTGCTGGGCTCGGGGTTGCCGGTGGGGGAGGCCGAGGGTCACAGGAGGAGAGAGGCCCGGGGGTTGCCGGCGGGGGAGGCCCGGGTCACAGGAGGGGAGAGGCCTGGGGTCGCAGGCGGGGGAGGCCGGGGTCGCAGGCGGGGGAGGCCGGGGTCGCAGGCGGGGGAGGCCGGGGGTCACAGGTGGGGGAGGCCGGGATCGCAGGCGGAGGAGCCCCTGGGAACAGAGGCCAGGAGACCAGCCCCACAAGGAGACATTTACATGGCTTATTTCCCTCAATCCTCCAAAAACCTGTGTCACAGGTTGGGAAACCAAGGCGTGGAGATAACTTGGGACCTTACCTCTTGGCCCCCCCCAACCCGGCCCGGCCCTGCTGGCACACAAGGCAGGGTGAAGACAGGCACTCAGCAGGTGGGGAGGCGGGTTGAGGACGGCTGCCTCCCCTCCCTGGCCTCGGCCTCAGGCCTCCGGAGCCACCCCAGAACAGATGTGCTCGAGGGGCTGGCTGGGTCGTCAGCCCAGGCTCAGGGGACCCTGCCCCTGACTTCTCCCTTCCTCAAGTGGCCAGGCAGGGAGACCCAGACCTCTGGGGGCCTGAGGGTCCCACCCAGGAGGGTGGGGGCTTCTCAGGCAGTAACCCAACCTGTGGCTCTGCAGCCCAGCACCCGCCAGGTCCGAGGGAAGAGCCAGGAAGTATGGGAGGGGGCTAGGGGGTGGGCTGGGGGTGGGAGGAGGCCGGGGTTCCCTGGGCTCAGTAACGCTCCCCAGGTCTGAAGGAAGTCACGCAGCCCAACTCTTGAGAGGACCCCACATCTCCCCTCTGGAGCCCGCAGGCTGCCACGGCCCTGGGGAGGTGACCCACCTGCAGCTCACTGCCTTCCCACTGCGTCTCTGGAGCCCAGAAAAGCCGGAAACTCGCTGACCCCGTCCCGAGGCCCTTCCTGTCCCATTGGCCCCGAGGGCTTCAGAGACCCCTTCCTCCTCCTTCAGCCCCTCACCTGCAGGGAAGAAGGCCGCCCATCACCTTCCCTCCGGGCCCACAGAGCTGCCGGCAGAGGGAGAAGCGAGGGTGCTGTCGGCGACCGCACACGGCACTTCTCTGACCGACTCGGAATTCCCAGGGCACCAGCGCCTCGGACCCCAGGCCCCGAAGAGACGGGATGGGGCCCCTGCCCCCATATGAGACCCACCCCGGGGAAGCGGGGCCTCCCTTCTTGCACGAGTTCAGAAGAACCCACCAAGCACCCAGTATACGCGAGGCACGTGCCTCGCCCTCGGGAGCAAATAGACCAGAGGCGGGTGCGCAGAGTGTGCACTCAACACTCGGTTTATTACCGTTTCTTTCTGGGGGTGATGCGTAGCAAGTAACCCCATACCCAGAGCAAATCTAAAAGTGTTCCTGGGGGTTTCTATAAATCACATTTCTGTCTGTCTGTGGGGAAGAAGGTGCCATGAATTATTTCAGACAGACACGCACATACTGTAAAATCCTGAGTTTATTTAAGGAATCAGCACAGTACAAACCGCCACACAAACTCAAGCTACCGATGCTGCCGCCTCAGGTGCACGCACGTCTCCCACACAAGACCTTTAACCCCAGAGCCTTCTTGATCCCAAGGCCACGTGAAATTAGGCAGAACATCAACAAGACGACCCAGCTGTGCACGCGTTGGTGTGACGAGCAGCTCACGCAGTCACCTCAAACACACGCACCGCAAAGTCCAGACGCAACACCACACGCATCACAAGGGTTCACATTATCCATGGGGGCTTCACGTCACTCCCTTCGCGGCCCTTCCGCCAAGCCCAGGCCAGCCGATCGAGGGAAGCTTCTCCCAGGAAGTGGCCTTATGTTTATGCACATTCCTTTCCTGTCTCTGAAAAATCAGAGGCTCTTCTCGGGAAACACAGCTTGGCAGGGACGAGAGGATCGCGTGACTGTGGCTCTTACGCGTCTTCCTGTCTTGGGGGCCCCGGAGGGCTTCCCGCATCCAGGCCGGTCCTCTCCCCCTGCCCAGGCTCCCCTGGGTCCGCAGGCGTGGAAGTGCCGGCCCCGCACACAGGGACGCCAGCTTAGGACCCTCCCGACGGCCTCCAATGGCCCCCACGTCCCGACACCGTCTGCACATCAGGATACGTCCGCTGGGGCAAGAACAGGCTGCGGACCGCAATGCGCACAGAGGACCGGCAGGGGTGGAGGGCGGGTGGGCTCCTGTCCCGGCGGCAGCGAGCTCGGGGTGACGGGAGCTCAGGCAGCAACGTGGGCTCTCGGAGAGACACTGGCTGGCGCCTCTCCAAATGCTCGCATCACCAACTCAGCAGCCAAATGAGCATAGGATTTCAATAGGAAAATTACACACTGAGAAACTATTATATTGTCATAATTCACGATTCCCGGGCCCTGGGAAACACCTCGCTCTCCATCATCAACCCCAGAACCATCGCCACGACAAGAAGATGCACAGGGGCCCCCTCCCCGAGGGCAGCATCCCGGTGGCACAGAGGGACAGCCGGGCTCAAAACCGCCTGGGGCCCCGGGGAGGAGGCCCACCGCGGAGGGAGCGCCTTCAGGTCGCAGCCTCCAGGAACTCCGAGGTGAACACGGCTTCTGCATAGTCCTCACACGCGTCCTCCAGCTCCGCAGCCACGGCCCCCAGAGCCTCATCTACCAGCTCGTCGGAGAAGCTGGAAGACAAACAACACAGCTGCAGGCGCACAACCACGGGAGCCGGGACTCACCCAGCAGGCGGCCCCGAGCCTCACAGGCGAATTTGAGGCCCCGCTTTCCCGGACCCGGGCCTGGCGTCCACACTCTGCGCACGCAGCGCCCCCCTCGGGTACCTCCTCGGACACAGGGCCCCCAACGCTGCCACTGACGGGACACGTGCTCACGTCTGCCAAGGGTGGACAAGCGTCCGCTCTGGGGCGGGATCCGCTGCCCGCCACCCGCCTCTCCGGCCCCCCCGCCAGTCTGCAGGCGTCCCTCAGCCTGTCTTTCGCAACCTTGACATTTTCCAAAAGAGCAAAGAGGCCTTTATTTGCAGAACGTCCCTCAATCTGGGCTTGTGTGAGATTTCTTCGCGGTCCCTCAGGCCACAGGAGGGAGGCTTGTCCCTCAGTGCATCCGGCTGGCTCCCTGGCTCCCCCGTCCCCCGCAGCACGGCCCGGCTCCCGTCAGATGGCTGTGGGGAGGCGCCCTCCCTCCCGGACAGACACGCACCTGCCCTGCCCTCCCTCCCCCACTGCTAGCAGCTCAGCCTCACAGACTCCGGTCTTCCCCGTCTGTAATCGGATCCCAGTCATTTGTGCAGATACTGATCCTCTGATAGTCGCACCCCACACGGGCTGCCAGCACCCATCCCCCCGCTGCTCCTGGGTCCCCTCGATTGCCCCCTGGTCCTCTGACCCCTCCTTCCTGACTCGGTGTCATGGTTCGGCCGTCATGCCTGCTCCCAGCCCCTGACGGGCCGTATCCCCAAGGGGAGAATGGCGTTCGGGAGCCAGTGTGCCCTGGGCTCCTGGGTCCGCGGCGTGGAAGCCTCAGCAGATGGGCCAGACGGACACAGGGACACATACCGCATGCACCCCGTATCCATGAGGGCTGCAAACTCCCCAGCTCAGCGGATGACTCGCTCTGGCCTCCCCGTCAGGTGCGCGGACGCACGCACTAACCCCATCAACCCTACAACAGGCCAAAGCAGCCGTCAAGCCCAGGCCACCGCGCGAGACACCCACAGAGCGGAAACTAAGGTGCATCCATTGTTCTCCCGTCTCTACCGTGGGCGCACACACCGTGTTCAAAGCTGCTCGGACGCATTGCCATCTGCCCGTTTCCCGAGATCATGTTACTGACAGGAATACCGTGAGGTTCGCGTTTCCGGGGTGGGGGGTTCTCCTGATCTCGCCAGTTTGGGGGGATGGACACGGGTCCCACGGGCAGAGTCACATGGGCAAGGCAAACGTTTAATGTAATTCCAAAACATTGGAGCTCCTGCCAGTACAACACAGAATATCTTCTCGTTGCCCGTTTGCTCTTTCTCCTGTCTCTGGATTCTGTGCATTTCTATGACCCTTTCTCCTCGCTGCTACCCTGGATGCTGCACACTCCGCTCTGCGTTACTGGCCGTTCTGCGTTTCTGCGGGCACGCTGACGTCGAGCCTGACCACGGACATTCTCACCATCTCCCCAGACAAGCCCAGTGGCTCGGCGGTTCGCGCTCCTCCTGCCCCGACACTGGTGGGTGTCATCGTGCACACGCACGCCCCGCCACCACGCAGTTCCCCACGCACTGACCCCTCCCCTGGCACCACTCCTGCTCTGCCTGAGAATCACCCGTTCGCGATTTTCCACGGCGAAGCGGCCGGTGACAAAGTCCTCGCTTTGCTCGTCTGGAACCCTCTTACGTCCGCGACACACCGAGCTCTGGAACGGCGGCCCTCTTCCCTTCAGAAGACGCCGCATCCTCCAGTCTCTAGCTTTCTGCTTCCCATTCTTTCCTGCTCCGAATGATTTTTAACATTTTCTGGCTTTGACTTTTTAAGAATGCTGTAACATGCACCTATGTATGGATTTCTTCTCACTTTTCGTGTTCGGGGCTTATAAACCTTCTGGAAGCCACGGTCCCTCCGAGGTTCCAGCCGTGTGTGCAGCACCCCCGGGGCCTGCCCTCCCCTCTGCGTCCTGACACCTGGAGTGCTGCCCTCGGGGGCCCAGTCACACGTGAGGAGCGTTCACAGGTGACTGCAGCAAGTCCTGGGCTCCCTGCTCCGGGCTCCATCTGAAAAGGGCCTCAAGAGGGCCCCCGTGCCATCCAGGCTGACCATTGGTGGGGGGGGGGGGGCGGCCCGGCCTGTGGCTCTTCGTTAGCTAGCAGCTTGCAATGCCGTTGAGCACACGCTCTGCCTGTCGTGAGTGGGAGGTGGTCCAGGTTCCCGGGGGCACGACGACCAGAATCACCCACTGTGCTTTCGACATTCCTGGCACTCGCCCACCCCAAACTATGAGACAAATGCAAAGGTGCCCCCATGCGTCCAGACGCCCTGGGTACCTTACCTGTTTCGACCTGCCCGCCGTCCCTCTGCAGCCCTCCGTCCTCCCTCCACCGGGCCGGGAGCTCTCTATGCTCACTGAAGCACTCCTCACGTGGAGATGGCTTCCCCGCCAGAGTCTCGCTTCCCAAGTCCTGTCTTCCTTTCCTCGATGCCCACGCTGTGCTGGGTGACAGAAGCCCCCCAGGAGCTCAACGAGGAACGCCACCCGGCAACCGAATTTCCGGACACTGCGCATGCACATGTCTCCACTCTGCCCTCTCATTTAATGGACAGCTTAGCTGAGCATGGAACTCAAGGGGAGATTTTGGGGGATGCTCTGATATCTTCTGGTGGTGTCCTCCTGAAAACAACATGCTGTTCCTCTGAGCCTGGAAGGGGCCCACTGGACTCTCCGGAACCTTCTGTCACCCACTCCTCACATGGGATGCTCACACGCCTTTCCATGATGATGCCCCTAGGTGCGCTCTGCACAGTCTGTGCCCTCGCTCCTCACTCACCCGCTCACCGCAGGCGGCCAGCCTCCGGGAGCGCTTCCTACCGTGTTTCCTTCAAAGTCTCCCTCCCCTCAGTACCCTCTTCTCACGGATGCAGCTCCCACCGTCAGATGCTGCCGCCACGGGCCGAACATCTGTGTCCCCGCAAAGGAAGCGTGTCGGAGTCTCAGCCCCAGGTGGCGGACTGGCGTCCAGGCCCCTGTAGGAAGGAGACCTGGGGGGACAGCCACCACCTCTCCAGAGAGCAGGCCGCCCACACACCCAGCCTCAGACGTCCCCCGTTCCAGCTGCTGAAGCCACGGCTCCGTGACGTCTCCTAGACTTGCGACTCCTAGAACCCGCAAATTTTTAAAATCTTGTCTTTTCTATTGTTTTGTTTCTATTGTTTCTGCTTGCTTTGTTCTACTTCGGAGAGGTTTGGCTTTTTTCTTGAAGCTCTCCAGTGACTTTGGCCGTGATACTTTTAATTTCTTAGAACTTACTTCCGTTCTTCAGAAGTTCCTTTTTCATGGTATCCTGGGCGCGTTTCCTGGTGTGACCGCGTCCTTTACTCCTAAGAACACTCACTCTGGTTTGTTTGGTTTGAAGCTTTACCCTGCTTCTCAGAGTCGGCCCGACCTTCCTGCCCACCCACACCCACACCTCCACCCGCGGGTGCCCGGCGCCCCCCGTCCCTGGTCTCCACGGCACTCCCGGTGGCTGGGCCTTCAGCCATCCGTCCGGCTGCACGATGGCTTCCGACGCCCCTGCTCTCCCATTTGCCGTCATTTACGGCTTCACGCCAAGTCCAAGTACCGCCAACAGTGGCCGGAGGAAGGGGCGAGTCTGCAGGTGGGGCCTCCCCCCTCCGCTCCCACAGCGCAGCCACCACCCCCCTCCACCCCCACGAGGGAAGGAAGCTTCATGCTCGGAACAAATACACCAGTGACGTGACCACAGCCCCCCTGTGAGCTCGTGCTTGGCACCTGGTTCCCAGGCGGAGGCCACGACACTGTACTGACCTCTCGGCCATCAGCCATGGGTTGAAGGCACCCACGGCCTCGTGTGCCACCAGGCGGAGGTACTGCTCAAAGCGGCTACAGTAGTCACCGATGCTCCGCCGTAAGCCCGGGGGCACCCACAGGGCGGCCCGGCCTTCCTTCTGTGGACTCTCCTCTGGAAGGGGCACAACGGGAGCCCCTCTCTTCTCAGACCCCTCGTCAGTCCCCACACTTTCATCCAGGGAACTGAGAGAAAGAAGAAGGGAGAGCATTCAGATCACCGTACACAAGGCTGAGTGGTTCCATCCACCTGAAGCACGGACCGGCGAAGGTCAGTCTCTCTCCTTCCACCTGAACGAGCTCAACACCCCCCGCCGCGCCCTGACCACCCTGCCTGTGGCGGGGGTCCCTGTCCCGGAGGCCAGAGTGCTCGAAGCAGGTCTGCAGTGGGACGGGCACAGCCCCAGGGCCCCATGATACTGCGCCGGGAAAGACGAGCCAGGGGACAGTGGTGCCGCCCGCAGAGATGGCACACGGCCTGCCCGCCTCACAAGCACACTATGTCACAGGGCCTTCCTGGAGCTCGGGGAGGTCGGGCCCTGTCTTGTGGGAATCAAAGGGCCCTGATGCTTCACCAGAGGCAAGCCAGAGCGCGGACATGGGTCTGATGCGGGTCTCAGTGCCACTCACTTGCCATTCCGGGGTCTTTCCAACACGATGTTCACGTCTGGGTCTTTGCGAGCTGGGGTCTTTGTGATCCTGATTGGATGAGGAGAAAGAGGCCTTTCACTTACTGCTGGGAGTGTTTGCTCTAGAAGAGAGGCAGATAGTGACCACACAGAGTGAAGAGCCACGTGCTTCCCAGGCCCATCTCTCAAACCTGACCGGGGTGGCCAGCCATGCAAAAATGCTCTGGTTTGCAAAGAAAAGGCGAATTTAAAGTCACAACAAGGAGTCACGAGCCTCATGAGCTCGGAGGATGCTCCACGACGAGGTCAGTGCGAAGCCCCAGGCTCTGCAGGCCCCCGTTAGGGCCACTGTTGGAGGAGGCTTGAGCACGTGGGTTTGTGGGTTTGTGTTTTAACCTTTAAACGGTTTCATTACTGGGGAAGGAAAAAAGCATTCACAGCTCAACACTTAATTAGCTACTGGGAAAAATCTGCAACAACAGTCAAAACATTAACTTATTACCTAGACCTTGCAGGCTCGACAGCTCTTGTGAGCTTTGGGTCATTTAAAATTTTAAGTGTATTTCAAGTACAGGAAGAAAACATGTGACCCTCTCAGGTAAGGAGCACCTGTAAGTAGAAGTCACTCGGATACGCCTATAGTTTCCCACGTGCCGGAGATGCTACACCCGTCAGTGTGTCAGAATCTGAGAACAGCTGTGCACTCTTCACACGAGGAGAGGACAAGAGAAGGGTCAGACGCTCAGTATAGTTCTGACAACGAGCACACAACCAGAGCAACAGAAACCGGGTTCCTCCTGGGACTCACCAAGCCTGCAGGTGTCACTCTCGGACTCTACCGCGCTCCCGGCCGGGGCACACCCAGCCTTGCGCACTCATGGGTGGAGACGAGTAACTACACTGTCCTTGAAACGACACCACAGAGTCCTGGGGAAGACCGGCTTCTGCACAATGCAACCCCGCTCCGCGGCCAGGAGCCAAACCGTCCACGGAGTGAGCCGCCCTCGGCGCCCCCTCTTCTCCCACGCCAACAGACACCGAATGCCAAGGACACACGAATACGCAGGGGCCCACATGGAAGAGGGAAGTCTGGCCTCAAATCTGTGGCTTAGCTGGGAAATGAGATCCGTCCACCAGTGACCCTGACACACGGTGGACACGACAAGCGTCCACGGGAGCTCGGAGGCCAGGGAGGGAGGAAGGAGCCAAGCTCCAGAGCGGGGCAGGCAGTGGCTCCATGGCTGTGTGAGGTCACGGTGACAGCTGGAGGGCAGACAGAGCCAGGAGCAGAGGGCAGGGGCTTGAGAATCACAGAAAACACGAAACAGCGCTGTGCTTAGTGGCTCATCTTTCTGTCAGGATGTGGCCTGGCCAGCGCTTTCCCCAAGATGGTACCCTGCACCCCTATTTTAAAAGAGCCGTACATGACACGGCTCAGCGGCAGGCCTCCCACACCCCGACGCTCCATGCTCACGCCCTGTGCAACAGCGCCTCCCCACGGCCACAAGGCGACCACTGATGAGCGACACTCCAGCCGCAGGTGTGAGAGGAGCCCAGCAACTGTGTCCGTCTGCAGGAGGAGAACAGAAGTGGACGTCTTCTCTAGAGACGGCCGCAGAACAAAGGGCTGTCCGTTAGGAGAACAAAACACGGACCTCCACCTCCACCTCACGTCACAGGCCAACTTTCATTCGAGATGGACCATAACCCTACACACAACAGCTAAACCCATAAAGCTTCTAGAAGAAAACAGGACACCCCCTTCTCAATTCGGGGGTAGGCAAAGGTTTCTTAGGTCAAAAAAGAAAAAGAAAAAATTGATGTTAGACTTTTTGAAGCAAGAAATGCCTTTCTATAACAAAATACATCTGAGAAAATAGGGGGAAATATTGGCAAACATCTGTCCGAGGAGACTCGTGGCTGTGGGGGCCGGGCAGGGGTGTGGGGGGGGGCTGCTGCATGCACAGGGCTTTTTAGGGGATGAACGTGTTCTGGAGTCAGACAGCTCTGCAAACACACGAGAAACCACTGAGCTGTGCGCTATGAAGGGTGAGTCTAAGGCGCGTGAATCACATCTCAGTAAAACCGGACAATGTATGTATCTGACAAAGAACTTGTCTCAGAACGTTCACACAAACAACCCCCATGATTCAAAACCGAAAGACAACCCAATTTTTAAAAATGTACAAACTATCTGGATACCTCATGAAGAAAGACACACCACTGGCTAATAATCACATAAAAATGTTCTAAACATCATCATTCATCAAGGAAATGAAATTAAAACCACGAGACATCAGTCCACGCCCATCACCACAGCGACAATCACAGACCACCAGCCGCCCTGGGGAAAGGCTTGGCAGTTTTCTACAAAGTTAAACACACACCTGTCCCGGGACCTGGCAAGTCTGCTCAGGTGTTTATCCAAGAGAAATAAAGACTTACGTCCACACAAGACCACACACGAACATGCTCACAGCACACCGATTCCTAACCCCAAACTGGACAGAACCAAGTGTGGATCCACAGGCTGGTGGATGAATCAGAGGCATGTCCGCACCTGAGAAGCCCACTGTGTCTCCATTTGTCAAAACCCATCTAAGGACACGATTAATTTTGTGTTTTTTATTACATGTAAATTTTATCTCAAAAGGAAAAAGAGCCACAGAGAAACATGACACTCTAGCCGCAGATACACACACTGCAAGGTTCGGGGTCATGCACACCACACCTGCAACTTTCTCTGAGACGCGCCCAGACACAGGACGACTGGCAGGGCAGAAGGAGCGCGAGCGGGTACGTGTGTGTCCACCACCACAGGTCTGCAACTTTCCTGTACGTCTGAAGCCTTGCAGAATAAATGTGGGGGGAACGCATGGGTGGGGGGGGGACACTCACCCATCTTCCCTTCCTGCATCCAAAGATGAGGATCAGCATATTCAATTTTATTGTATCTTTGGCGAACTGTCTCTTGGTATTTCTTAAAAAAAAAAAAAAAGTTTAATTCATGAGAAAAGAGTAGTTTCGTTATACACCAGAACAGTTCACCCATATGATGCAGGCACTGTGCCAGAAACCGGAGGTGAGGCGCGTTTACAAGGCCAAGTCTAAATTAAATGAAGTAATTCATCTAACCTAACAGAGACCAGTACTGGCCACGAGAACCTGCCATGACAAGGGACCTGCTCCGTGTGCCACTGACAACTTCTAATGTGAGCCGTGGGCTCCATCTGAATTTACGTTTGAATCACCCTGCAAGGCTAGAGCCGGCCACTCTGGACGCTGCAGGCCCGGACGGTTACCCCCAGGAAGGGGACCGTGCTAGCACTGGGGTGAACGACATCTTTACGTTTTCAAAAACCAACAAAAGACAGTCTTCCCTATGTTTCTACTTAGCAGCAAATCCAAACAGAGACTCAGTCCTGGTGCACTTCGATGTGACCGGCTGGGGTGGGGGTCAGGAGACCTGGTGCCCCAGCCCAGCTCCGGCAGCCATAGCCGCACAGCTCACTCCCTCATTATGCCTCAGGTCCCTGCTCTGGACAATCCAGGGCCCCGGCTGGGTCCCGCTGGGAGGTCTACACTCATAGCACAAAAGCGTTGTGTAGTGGTATCGTGGGAAGTAAGGAGGATGGTCTGCAATTTGCAGGGACCCCATGCCGGGGTGGGTGGAGAAGTCGCTGGTCCCAGCTCTGGTCCCAGGGCTGTTCCCAAACCAATGACCTCACCTCCTGAGCTCCACGTCCCGTAGGGTGCCGACACCTCACACCTCCTTTTAGCCTCAAAGACCCCTGACTTTTAGGGAGGGCAAGTGACTCTTGCGAGGCCCTGCACTGGCTGCAGTCAGGCTGGGATGGACGCCCAGGCTGCAGGGGAATGGGGGGTGGCCCCGAACCTCACCTCCATCTCCTCCATCCGCAGCATCAGAGTCTCCAGATACGGGCTGTCCCTGCCATCCCCCACGGGAGCGGAGGCTTCCAACTCCGGGACCCTACGGCGGGTCGTGGCCCAGGGCCCGTGAGTGGCGTCTTCCAAACAGTCCCCCAGCTGGCGAAGGCTGCGGGGCTCACGGTCCACAGCTGCAGCCTGCGAAGCAAGGGAGGAGCGGAGAGGCAATGAAAGACCTGAAGACGGAGAGCAGCCCTGGGTGATCCGCGCACCATCCCCCTCCTGCACCAGCGAGTCCAAAGCAGCCCCACGGGCACAGCTGCCACGAGCCGCTCGGACGCGGCCACGAACCAGGTAGCTGACCGTAAGCACCCGCCAGCTGGTAAGGCAAGCGTCCTCCTGGTGCTGCGCCCAGAGAAAGAGCCCGCCAGCTCAGTGTCGGCTCCCAGCCGACGGGTCTGTTCTCGTGTGGTTCTATTCGTGACATCACGAGCCTCATTCTCTGTCTTCACTGACACTTTCTACCTTAACCCAGGAGAGCTTTACTAGCTTCTCTCGACCTCGTATTATGTTCACAAAGCACTTTACAGTCTGCAAAGCGATTTTACACACGCTCCAGTTCTTCTAGGGTAGGTCTATAATCTACTCTGAAAGAGGCTCTGCGAGGAATGTCCGCGGGAAGTGACGGCCTCAGGCTCTGGAAGGAGCCATTTGTGGGACACGGGTCCTGGCTCTGCTGCACCTTGTCGGCAGCGTGCATGAGCCCCTGCACTTCGCTCTCATGCCCATCAGGGAGACGGGAACAGTCCCGTCTCAGAGCTGGAAGGGCTGCGCGAGCACGTGCATGTGGGACATGCCGTGAACAGTTCCCGCCACAGCAATTTCAAAAACCTTCTAACGGATCAGAAAATATATATATATATCAACGGCCAATAAAGATATGAAGAAACGCCCAACCATAAGTTAAATAAGTATCAGCTGAATATTCAGACAACAGAGTTACAAAAGAATCTAGAGCAGAGGAACCCAGGAACATGGGTCTGGTTAATGCAGATGTATTTGCACGGGTGAGATTTTTCATCTACAGAGAACGGGACATCAGGAATACCGTGTGCCCTTGGAAAAGACAAGGAAGCTCTCGACACAGTGATACGGAGCTCACCGGCATATAAAGAAAGAAGCCGGGTACCGAAAGCCTACGGTGCTCCTTCACAGAATGGTTTAACTTTTATATCATACTTCTGCTGAATTATCAGAATTTTTAGCCAGCCATGGGCATATATAACTTTCAAATTAGAAAAAACTGGAGCGGGGCGCCTGGGTGGCCCAGTTGATTAAGCGACTGCCTTCAACTCAGGTCATGATCCTGGAGTCCTGGGATCGAGTCCCGCATCGGGCTCCCTGCTCTGCAGGGAGTCTGCTTCTCCCTCTGACCCTCCCCCCTCTCCTGTGCACGCTCTCTCTCTCTCATTCTCTCTCTCAAATAAATAAATTAAAAAATCTTTAAAAAAAACAAAAACAAAAACAAAACTGGAGCGTCTTGGAAAGCTACATTTCAGGTGCTGAGCTCATGGCCAGACGAAGGTGCAATACTCCTTCCTGACAGCAGAGACGGTCGTGTCAGCAAGTGAACCCGTCGAGAGCTATATTCTATGTGTGAAGGCCACAAACGTCTCCTCCCTTCTAGAGATGGGGCTTCTGAGAATTTGCGTGGAAGCCCCACAGTTTTACAAGTTAACAAAGAAAACGCTTCTCTCTACATCACCATGCCGACTTCAGTTGAGTCTCCCTGTTCGTTTTTATTCAGTTATTTACACACACACCCTCCCGTGTGCCACCTGGGGACCTCCATGGTGATGCCCACATCTACCCCAGGATGCTAGCTACTGTCAGAGTTGCGTTCCTTCTCACTCAGTCTTCTCAAGACCACCCAGCGCCCACAGACTGACTCTCACGTGCGAGGCTGGTAGCCCTCAACACATGGACTCTGCTGACAGCCCTGACAGTCACTCAGGGATGCCGCCCCGGCTGAGACGCTCCACCAGGAGGGAAGGATCGCTTGGAGGCCGGGCTGCGCGAGGCACGGGGGTCTGCGTGCGCTCCGGGCAGGCTCTCAGCTCCCAGCCTCAGGAGCCTCCTGACCCGTGACTCCACCACGAGATGCTGGTGCAGTGAAGTGACAGCCGCAAAGACCACGCACCTGCGCTACAGCCAGGCACCTGCCCTATCCGCAGAGTGGGGACACACTCTCCAAATCCTACGTCACGGGGCTGGTGCGTCTTCGTCCCACTACCTCTCACCCTGACCCTGCACGCCAGCTCGGCCCCATGTTTGCTCTGAGTGCAAACAGCTGCTTTCCAACCCGGCAGTCTCAGTGCATCGGCCTGAGACTCCCATCCACAGCCCAAGTCCCGGTGGGACAGGATCGTTCCCACACACGCCAGACACAAGTCCTCCAGGGGGACGTGCAGGGGTGCCCAGCCACAACACATGCTCTCGTGCTTCTCACACCTTACCGTTTCCTGTCTGCTAGGCAAGGTCCTGGTCACTGTCCGGCACTCAAAACATGCCTGCTGAACAGTGAGCATCAGGGCTGTCATGAGCAAAGCCAGGCCGCGTGGCAGGACGAGAGGACGGCTGCTCGCCGACCTCAGGCTGCCCGCACTCAGGGCCGTACACTGCAGCCCCATCCTGTCCCCAGGAAAGGACAGAGCCACAGACAGACCCCTGTGGCTCCAGAGAGTTCCGTCATAAATGTCAACAAGCCAAGAGGAACCGTCACTTCCCCCTTCCTGAGCAGGGTCCCCCGCGCTCACAGGAACCTGTGTCATTCCCTCGCCACCCAGCACGCTCTCACGACAGGACAGTGGTGTCTGCAGGGCCACCGCGCATGCACCTCCTCCGTGGGCTGGGCGGTCGCCGTGTCTGCTGATGGACGGTCCCTCAGCTGAGGATCTGCTTCCAGAGAAGAGTTGACTCTCTGCTAAAACAGACAAGCATGATCCATGAATTATCAAAATCTATAACCCCGTTGGTACAAACTGTTACGAGATTAACTTGTGCACGGAGCCGCTCATCGGCTTTGGCTACGTCAGGCTCTGCAGCAATTCCCAGCTTGTGTCCTCGTGAAAACAAACGCTGTGTGTTGATCTTGGCTTTCTGTCCCCTTTCTTCCCTCAACTTTGGAAACACGGTCTGAGTAGCTGTGTGTCTTTATGCAATCACCCCACATCTGTTCCAGCTCCCTCAACAATGAAACAAGGAGGTGGATGGTTCTCTGCTCCTGACATGTCCAGGACCCTCATAATAATGACACGCTTCTTACACCAGAGCTACAGACTTCAGTGGGCGCTCAGGGACCCAGAACATCGTTCGTTCCACATAAGATTATGATACCCCTGTGGCCTCAATGTCCACAAAGACAAGACTATTTCCACGACCAGTGCACCTGCAGGGTTGGGCCGGCACGTCCAGCTTACTGCCCACAGGAGGGTGGCACCTGCTGGTGACACTGCACATTCCCCGCTCCTCGAGGGAGAGAGAGGGACGATCTGTGCACAGGCGCTCACCCTCGGGAAATAGTGCCAATCACCCCAGAGCACGGAGGTGAGAGAGCCCAGGACCTGTGCAGAGGCAGCTAACAGGATGGGGCTGCAGAACACTGACATCACCAACAGATTTAGTTCATTAACAATGGAAGCTGGAACCTAAACTCATTCCCTAAATAAAATCTCCCCTTTCTCAAAAGTGGGACTTTCTCTTCCCTTGTCTTGGTCCCTTATGTGCACTGAAGACCCATCAGTAGACCCAGAGGGGCCGAGCAGCGCCGCACCTATACCACACAGCACAGCTCGGCATGGCAGCCCCCAGCTGCCAGGTGGACACGAGTCCTCACGAAGGGCCTCCTTTTATTCTAACACTTCCAAAGGCAAGCAACTGGATTACCTGGGCCTTGACCAGGAGAGGCTTCAAACGCTCCAGGACCGCCTTCTCTACCTTGTCTGCTAACTGGGTGTCTGAGACACTATGGAGAAATAAAATCAAAAATTAAAATCAAAAGCAAGAAAATACCCTATTTTGTATATTTAAGGTACTACTCCAAGTGGAGGAAAATCAAACGCATATAAAGCCACAGAGTTTCTCTAATCCTGGCGGCCATGCGACGTCCCAGGGGTCTTGTTAAAGAGCAGATTCGCAGGAGACTGCGATGCTGCATTTCCAGCAAGCACCCAGGTGCCGCACCACCGCCGGTCAGGACCCGCTGAGGGCACTTCCGAACGTCTCGATGGGTATGTTAGGCTCTCAGTACATTTCCAAAGAATAATGGCTGCCTTTAAACCACTAAAGAAGACAGAAGACCGAACCAATCAAACTAATTTTGTTCCCTTTCCAAACTCTGCTTTAATGGAGTCAGACACAAACCCAGAGACAAGGGGAAACAGGACAGCGTGGTAACCAACGGCGCTGAGCAGACCAAGCTGAATTCTAGGCCAGTCATGGGGAAAGCGGAGAGGCCACGCGCGCGCCCTGCTGACTTCACAGGCACAGGGCTGGTGGGACCAGGCACATGGGGGCCTGGGGGCGGCCTAAATGTGGGAGACAGGAGCCTGGTGATGTCTGAGAAGCTGGACCCTGGGGCCCCTCTCCAACTCAGAGAGGTCTGGTTGCTCCTCTCCTGGAGCATCTGTGGACCTGCAGGCAGGCTGGCCGCTCCTGGGACGCTGGCAGCCTGATGCTCACCGTCTGGGCGCGAGACCACACCACTCTGCCCTGGATGCTCCGACCCACCCCGAGGGAAGGACTAACAACCAACAAGGCCCCTTCGAGAGCAGTGTAGCCACACCCCGGAGTAAAGCTCAGGCCCAGGAGCCCTCCCGGCGGACGGCGCTGGAACAGCACGTCTCTGGGAGGATAGCCACACACGGAGCCGCAGCTGGTGTCCGGCACAGAAACTGGCTCAGGATGGACTGCAGACGTGAGAACATGGCCACAGGAGCAGACCACATAGGAGAGAGCACAGACTATCTCTGGGGCCCCAGCATTGGCCAGCACTTCTGAGATCAGTCACAGAACAAGACCCACCGTCAGATAAAACGTCAATAAACTGATCTTAGTCAAAACCCGAAACAACTTCTTCATCGAGAGACTCCGCTAGGAAGCTCACACACAGGCAAGCCCCAGCTGCTGCACGTCTGTCTGACACCAGCTCACGCCCAGAACACAGTAAACAGCCTCAGGAATCAACACAACAGACACTTCACATCCTCAGTTGACTGCAAGGAAACGCAAATGAAAACCACGAAGCACCACTACACTCTCACCTGAGTGGCTAGAATTAGCACACAGACACTAGCAAATGTCAGCGAGGTCGGGGAACAGACACTGAACACAGGGCACCACCCCAACCATGTCACCGCCACAAGTCCACGGGACCCTGCGTGCCGCCCCCCTGCATGAGGACTTGCCCATGACCCGGCCCGTGTCAGCAAACCGTCAGGGACACGTCCATAGGGGGCAGATTTACGGGTGGGGGTGATGAGAAGATGAATGGAGGAGTCAGGACGGTGGTTCGCTCTGGGGGAGGAACGGGTGACGGAGGAGGGACCGAGGAGGGACATGCGGTGAGGGCCCATTCCTGGATTAGAGATGCTGGTGCATGGACGTTCCTTTTGTAGTACTCTGGGCTATATGCGTGCATTTATCACGTAGGACCACCCAAAGGGATGACGGGGCACGGTGGGCTACTGTCTTGCTATCTGGCCAAGGGACAGTGGGTGGGGGTCTCAGGGCTCCTCCTAAAGGCCAGCAGCCAGAGGAATGGGAATGGACTGCCTCACCGGGGGACTGCCCATGCTGGGCAGTTACCTTGTGAGGTGGACCGGAGGGCCTGGGAGCACCAGCAGGGGAGTAAGACCCTTCCAACCCTAAGGTTCTGCGATCGCATAGTTGTTTAAGATCTATTTACCTGAGAGAGAGACCACATGTGCGAGTGGGTAGGAGAGGGGCTGAGGGAGAGAGAGCATCTCAAGCAGAGTCCTCAGTGAGCAAGAAGCCCAACACGGCCTTTATCCCAGGACCCAGAGACCATAACCTGAGCCAAAACCAAGAGTCAGACGCTCAACCCACTGCACCAGCCGGATGCCCCTGTGATTGTGTAGCTTGAAACCTTAACTACAGAGGAAAGAAATCGGGGCCCGTCGCGCGCAGGCCAGAGCCCTCCCAGCCGGGGAGCAAGCATCTGCCATGATGGGTGACAGGACACACACATGTGGATGACCGCAGGACGAGTTATGATCAGAGTCGGGAAACAGCCCAACACGGCATCAGAGCGCTAACAACACCTCAGACTTCAAGCGTGCAGCCAGGCACTAACTCTCTACATTCGAGTCGACACTGAGGCCAAGTACCTGCACACTCACCCGCGTGACCAGACACACGTCCACCTCCTCCCGCCGAGAGCAGAGCGCCAGGGGGGGGGCGGGGGCGGGGAGCAGCACAAGGAGACGCAAGGCTGACCTCTCAGCTCCCGCAACCCGCCGACGTCCGTTCAGTACCTAACTCCACAAAAGGAATACTTCGAAACAAAGCTACTGCCTACGATCCCGCGGGCACGCGTTCATCCAGCGAGGCCAGGCTGATGAGGTCCGGGGTACAAGCGCCCAGACCAGCTGCAGCAGGCGACTCCTGCTCAGAAGCAAACCCCCACCTCAACTCCAGCTTTCTACCCATTCCTGCAGTCCCTCCGTCCTGCCAGAGTCAGCAGCGAGTGCAGCAAGCCTCAAGGACAGTGCTGAAGACACTGTCCGTGCACTCCGCCAGGGGCTGCCCAGGTGCACACAGCCCCCCCCACACCCCCCCCGGAAGTGGCCGCCGCTCTCCCACCTGGGACATGGGGGCTCACCTCTGCCTCTGCGTCTTGTCCGAGCCCTCAGCTTTCAGTTCTTGCAGCTCCTTCAAGGTTTTACAAGCTTCAGCATCAAGCCAAGCGAGTCTGGTGGACAGTAAACAGACTCAGACCACCTGCCTCGCCCCACAGGCCACCGTCGCCACAGCCACGCCAGGGTCAGGGTCAGGGGCGCCGGGGCTGGGCTCCACAGGCGACACCACCTCCACCACTGGAGCTCCTCACGTGAGGCGCCATGCTGACGCACTCCTGGGTAGCATGGACAGCCACCAAAACCGCCCACGAATATTCTCAAGAAAGAGAGCCATCACTGTTCTTAGGATTTCCTGTTCGACCATAAAATAAAGCTGCTGCTGGATCTTCGAGTTTAGAAGGAGGACACAGACACATAAAGCCAGAAAGGAAACGCTAACTCTGCACCACCTCAGAGCTCAGGGGGCTCTGAGTCCTTCAGTTTAGCATGCGTGACTAGCATCCAATTACACAACAGCCCACACTCATTTTCGCTTTCCCACAATGCAAGAACAATCTCGGCCACACAAACGCAGAGCTCCCTCCGGAATATTCTCACCTCACCCCCGATTCGAGCCTGTTTTTGGGCCCACGAAGCCCAGCCCTCTGCAGCAGGAAGCAGCCTGTCCCCTTCCAGGCCTCCATTCTTCACCCTCCAGCTCTGCCTCAGATCAGTCATAGCAGGCCCTTCCTGCGACTCTAAGTCACAGAGGCTGGGATTCTTTCGGCCCTGTTTCTAGAAGTCTCCATAGAGCTCACCGCTGCACCACACACAAAACAAGCAACCAGTGGACAACGGACACACATGATGTTGAGTGAAGAGAGTGAAAGGGGCTCGCCGTCTGCACTGGGCCGTCCGACAGCAGAGCCGGTGGCTGACACTTTACATAACTGGCTTTATTCATAGTACGCAGGTGAGGAGAGTCCACTCCAGAACCCGGGTGCGCCCTTTGTTTCTCAAAGATTTGAAAAATAGCAGCACAAACCTAACTGCTTCCTGCACAACAGCTCCCCTCAACGGACTCTCCTCCTGAGCCTCGTCCTGCTGGAGCGACTGTTCTTTTGTGGCATCTTTGGGGCTCGGCTTCACCTTCAGCCAGGCAGCACTGCAAAACGCAGGAAAGCACAGCTTTGGGACCGCACCCTTTGCGCCCTCTGTGCCCTCCACACCCACCGGCTCCCGGGGAGTCGGTGGTGATCTACAGCAGGCACCTGAGTGGGAGCAGGTGCAAAGGAGAGTGAGCACACCCATGGAGCAGGCTCAGTGCCCAGGGACATGTTTTATCTGCTCCACACACACATCCCTGTTTTCAACGAAAACGGACCGACACGTAGCTTCAGGTCACTAATTAATACCGCAATGTCTTCAAGAGGCCCTCTTGCCCTCCGCACACGCCCTGAAGACAGCCCATGGGCTTGTGGAAGCCCAGTAGAAACGTCCACCAACGGATGTTTTCATGAGCTTCCAACTGAATTCAAGTCTTTATACTAACACACACATAAAAATGCAGAATTTAGGGCGCCTGGGAGGCTTAGTCGTTAAGCGTCTGCCTCTGGCTCAGGTCATGGTCCCAGGGTCCTGGGATCGAGCCCCACATCGGGCTCCCTGCTCAGCGGGAAGCCTGCTTCTCCCTCTCCCACTCCCCCTGCTTGTGTTCCCTCTCTCGCTGTGTCTCTCTCTGTCAAATAAATAAATAAAATCTTTAAAAAAAAAAAAAAATACAGAATTTAGAACAGATGAACACAAAAAAGCGCATCAGGAAATCAGGCCTGATTTTAGATCCAGCTCTGCTATATAAGACATTAAATTCTCGAGATGCTGCTTCTTCAGCTCTGAGGGGTTGACGAGCAAGCGTGTCCCTTCATACAGCATCATTCAAGTCTTGGGGGGAGCCCGGCCCACCAGGCTGCTCCCCTGTCACCGGCCAGCCTCGGGTTGACGAGCAAGCATGTCCCTTCATACAGCATCATTCAAGTCTTGGGGAGAGCCCGGCCCACCAGGCTGCTCCCCTGTCACCGGCCAGCCTCGGGAAAGCTGGGGCACTCGGACCCTATCTCCTCGCCGGCCCTCTTCCCCACGCTCCTGCTTCCTGCTGGCCTGGTCCTGGTCCCTTCCACTGTGCTCTCAACAGCCCCTACCCCATGGTAAACGGACCGCCCTTTTTCTTAACCAATTCCTCACAGACCACTTCCACCTGACTGGCCCCTGTGGCCCCTGAAGGACCTGCCTCCCCCTAGCTTTGCGGAACAGGGCCTCATGACTGCGTGCAGTAACGTGGAGACAGATGGTAATGTCAGCATTATTCTCATTGTCCCCTGCAACAGTGAGATCCGCATGGTTTTATAATTCAAAATCTTGTCTTGAAATTAGGATTATTTTTAAATATTCATCCATTCAGCACAGATTTACTGAACGCCCGCCAAGATCCGTCAGGGCAGAGACCCCCCTATGCCGGCCGCTGGACATTCAGCTATGAAGAAGGCACAGCTCCTGGCCTCAGGCCACTAGAATCCACTGTGTGGAGACAGGTAGGGGCAAGCCTGTGACCCCCACATAGGACCACATACCCACAGCAGGTCAGGGCGGCCCACGGGAGGTTCCCCAACCCCAGTGGGAAGAAGAAAGACATCAACAGGCTTCTAGACAAACATTCTCCCGTATTTCTCACCCAAGTGAGCTTCTGTTCTTAGTGGGAACTAAGGCTGCTGCTTTATTAGCTCTAAGCGATAGGGGACCCTCTGCTCTGCAGAGCACAAACCCCACCACGTACCACTTAGGAGATGCTGGTGGGGACGTGGGGTTCGGAGGCACCCAAGGGGCCCTGTTGTCTCTCACAGGGTGCTGGTTCATTTTCAGTCTGGAGGACACTGTCGTGCGCTGCAATCGGCTTCTGCTCTGGGACTGGGTTGGTCTACTTCTTTCAGCTTTGTGGAGTCCCTGCAAGAGATAAATACCAACTATAGGGCCAGATGGGTATCAAAGAAGCTCGCTTTAACCTTTGGCCGATGGAAGCTTCAGGAATCCCCATGCTACACCAGGAACCTGCGTGAAAAGCACTGTAGCAAAAGCTGGGGGCAGGTGTACCTCACACTGAGCGTGCCACACTGAGCGTACCTCACACTGAGCGTACCTCACACTGAGCGTGCCCACACTGAGCATACCTCACACTGAGCGTACTTCACATTGAGCGTACCTCACAATGAGCGTTTCCACACTGAGCGTATCTCACACTGAGCGTGCCCACACCGAGCGTACCTCACATTGAGCGTACCTCACACTGAGCGTGCCCACACTGAGCGTACCTCACACTGAGTGTACCTCACACTGAGCGTTTCCACACTGAGCGTACCTCACACTGAGCATATCTCACACTGAGCATTTCCACACTAAGCGTACCTCACAATGAGCGTATCTCACACTGAGCATGCCCACATTGAGCGTACCTCCATTGAGCGTACCTCACGCTGAGCGTTTCCACACTGAGCGTACCTCACACTGAGCATTTCCACACTGAGTGTACCTCACACTGAGCATGCCCACACCGAGCGTACCTCACATTGAGCGTACCTCACACTGAGCGTGCCCACACTGAGCATACCTCACAATGAGCGTGTCCACACTGAGCGTACCTCACACTGAGCGTGTCCACACTGAGCCCACCTCACAATGAGCGTACCTCACACTGAGCATTTCCAAACTGAGCGTACCTCCACTGAGCGTACCTCACACTGAGCGCGCCCACACTGAGCGTACTTCACACTGAGCGTTTCCACACTGAGCGTATCTCACACTGAGCGTACCTCACACTGAGCATTTCCACGCTTAGTGTACCTCCACTGAGCGTTTCCACACTGAGCGTATCTCACACTGAGCATTTCCACACTGAGCGTACCTCACACTGAGCATATCTCACACTGAGCATTTCCACACTGAGCGTACCTCACAATGAGCGTTATCTCACACTGAGCATGCCCACATTGAGCGTAACTCCATTGAGTGTACCTCACACTGAGCGTTTCCACACTGAACGTACCTCACACTGAGCGTTTCCACACTGAGCGTACCTCACATTGAGCGTACCTCACACTGAGCGTGCCTCACACTGAGCATACCACACAGTGAGCGTTTCCACACTGAGCGTACCTCACACTGAGCATACCTCACACTGAGCATGCCCACACTGAGCATACCTCACACTGAGCATACCTCACATTGAGCGTACCTCACACTGAGCATGCCTGAACTTGCCTCACACTGAGCGTACATGCTGTACTCCCTCCCCCGGGAGGGGATGGGGGTCAGGGGAGGGTGAAGCTGGACGCCCTGTATTTGCCATCCTTTTATACATATGTGTGTATATTTATTTTTATGATTTTCCTAATGAAAGGGAAAAAAAAAAAAAGAGAGAGAAATCGCATGACATTCTTGGTTTACCCTAACCTCATCTATAAACTGGGAGCCAACTTCTTCCTGTGTTTCCAGAAGGCTGAATGGGCTCATGGAGGAGGAGCGTGCAGCTGTCTCTGAGCAAGAGCGCCGGCTACATGCAGACAGGCCCAGTCCTGACTGCCCGGTGACGCCCCACGGGGCTGATCCAAGCCAGGACCTATCAGTCCCCGGGGGCCCCCTGACGATACTCAGGCCCGGCCGGCGGCAGTAACCACATTAAGGGTGTTTAGACTGGGAGGCGGTCTTCCGGCCGGTTCTCCACTTCAGTTACACTGTAAACAGAAGCTTAAATTATACTGTAGCTTCAAGCCAGCTGGCTTCCAAACACACAGAGAGCCCTGACCCTGTGATGCCTTTCCATGCCGAGTGATTATTTATCAATATTTATCCTCAGGAGGAAGCGAATCTTCATCCTCTCCAATCTCACACTTCCAAAGCAGAAGCAGAAGGAACGGAATTTTAGAAAAGCCTGCCCTATTAACACCATGGTAGCAAATTCAAGCGGATCTCACCAAACCAGGACAAGAGAGACGCCCGGTCCTGGGAGCAGTATTAAAAACTGTTATTTTTTGGTTAAAAAGGCAAAAACTACCCAGAGCCGAGCTAAGTCAACTACGTCTGGACAGTGGGCTCAGGACTCTGGCGGCACCATGACCACGACCAGCCGGTGACCATGGACATGGGCGGTGGAAGGAGCCGCTCCGTACCTGAGGCAGCCTCACCGGCACCTGGGCCTCCTTCTTCCCGAGCACCGTGCTCCTGGCCGTGGGCCTCCCTGCTGCCACTCCAGCTCTCGCCAGGGCCAGTGGATCTGCCGGGAAGCCAGTGCTGTGGTCTGGAACAGACAGGGCTTCTTCTGGAAAGATCTCCGCACCCATCGCATCCAGCCCATTCTCCAACCTCCAGGTCGCTGCAGGCACTGCCCCAGGGGGACACTTATCTGTAGGACATTTCAGAAGGACAAACAGAGGGAAATGCTACTCAAGCGGGTGACAAGGATTTCCACAGACAGATAAGCTCCAGACATCTAGCCCAGCCTGTAAATGATGTGGGAAACAAAGGCAGAAAAAAATTATTAAATTTCCTTACTACCTAGAGCCCACTGACAAGGACTTGAAACAGGCTGAGTGACCTTCCTCTAGGAACTCAGCTGCCCCGATGTTAATGATGAGGGAACAGAAGGCAAGCTCAGGACAAAGCAGAAGCTGGTACCCTACAACACACCCCCAACCCCGCCCCACGCCCACTTAGGGATATATGTGACATTCCTCAGGCACTCCTGGCTGCCCTAAAGGAAAAACAAACGGTTAACTGATAGAGATCACAGTCCTGCAGGACAGGAGTCTCCCTCAGTTTACAAATGTCCTAGTGATTTACAAGGAAGAAGCTTTCTCATCAATAGCCTAACTTCCAAAAGACCTATAACTCAGTTTCCTGAAGCCCTAACATCATCCTCCCCTACATGAAATTGAGGGAGGTTGAGGGAGAAGGAAATGTAAATAAAACTGAATTTCTTTTGAACCTGAAGCCCATTGACAAGGACTTGTAATAGGAGGAATGTAACATTCCTCCAGGAAACTCCCAATTGTCTTCATGTTAGTGCCTCATTAGAGGGGGACATAGCCTTGGCTTGACAATAACCAGGTCTCCAATATCCTGAGAGTCTTCTTTAGCATATGACATTCCTTCTGGACACCCCCTTTGTCCTCACCTCCCCAACTCCTGAGTATGTAACAGGCCACTCCTCAAGACCACAGGGGAGCAGCTCTTTCTGCCTACAGGTCCCGTCCCCGTGCCGTAATAAACCACCATTTTGCACCAAAGACGCCTCAAGAATTATTTCTTGGTCGTCGGCTCCTGACTCCACCCCACTGAACCTCACCTATATTCCAAAACTGTATCATTAATACTTTGCTAAGGGCGGGGCGCCTGGGTGGCTCCGTCGTTAAGCGTCTGCCTGCGGCTCAGGTCATGATCCCAGGGTTCTGGGATCGAGCCCCCCATCGGGCTCCCTGCTCAGCGGGAAGCCTGCTTCTCCCTCTTCCACTCCCCCTGCTTGTTTCTCCTCTTGCTAACTCTCTCTCTCTGTCAAATAAATAAATAAAGTCTTTAAAAAAAAAAAAAATACTTTGCTAAGGGCAAAAGGCAATTCTAGTCTGACCCCCATGCCCCAATCCTGTAACTCTACTTTAACATATAGAAATTCCTTTGGAAACTTCCTTTATCTCTAAACCCTCCAAGATGCATGTTCGCAATCATCCCCCAAGCATATGACCCACCGATATACACCTGAAGGGTCTCATGACTCAGGTTTTATTAGACGGTAATAAATGACCTTTTCCCAACAATAGCTAGCCCCCTCAGGGTCCTGGAAACCTCACTTCCAAATTCCTTAGAGACTTACACTATCCCTAACCCTCTCCCAACTTAAAAGTATATAATGGGCCACTCCTCATGACCCTGGTGCCTCTCTTTCTGCCCACGGGTCCTGAACCTGTGCTTTAATAAAATCACCTTTTTGCACCGAAGATGTCTCAAGAATTCTTTCTTGGCCGTTGGCTTCAAGCCCTAATAACGTCTTTCCCACATCATAAACACAGAGGCATTTTGCTGCCGAAGTCACTTCTCGCCCTGTGACTCCCACATGGACCCACATGCCGTGGCTGAAGCCCAGACTCACCTCCCACAGTGCTCCTTCCCAGTCCCTCGGACCCCAGCCCTGACTGCCTGCCCCAACCACCCAGGGCAGACGGGCGGTATCCCGTGACTATGATAACGGCATCTCCTGACCAACCCCTTCTTTGTCTCCAGTCACCCCACGGGGCTACCAAAGGTGTTTTTTCTAAGATGCAAATATTTAACTGTCATTTCTCAAAACCTCCATCCATCCACAAGGTTCAACACGCAGCGGGAAAATAAAACGGTCTTTAGTTGAATATGAGATGATGTTTTCTACACAGAAAATCCAAAAGAATCTACACATAGTTAAACAAGGAAGAGGGTTTCTGGATAAAAGAAAAAATATGAAAATCAGTATCATTCCCACGTATCAAAATAACTAGAGAAAATTTAAGAGAAAGATATCCTGTCTGCATCAACAACAAAAACTATAAGGCACTTTGGAAGAAATCTAACAAAAGATGTGTAAGAGTCACAGAAAATATTCAAAGGTATTTTAAAGGACATGAAAGAAGATCTGAGTAAGTTGTTTTCAAGAATGGAACGAACACAGTGAAGACGTCAATTCTCCCCTAAGTAGTCCAGCATTTCAAATGCAAATTTAATTAAAATCCAAGCAGATCTTTTTGTGGATTGAAACAGGCTGATCCTAAACTTGTGAGGACAATCCCAAACCAGCCCAGACAGCTCTGGAGAAGCACCACCAGGTGGGGGCGGGAGGGGGCGGGTCCCCAGAGGTCTGTCGTCGTGTCCCCCCACCGTCCTGATGCAGGGCCCAGCACAGCTTGGGGCGGCTGGTGGCCATGGGGACAAAACAAAACACGGCCTCGCCTCACACTCAGCATCACTTAAATTTAAATGAAACGAAGATAGAAATGTGACAGGAAAACTTGAAAGGTTTTAGAAGAAAGTACAGGAGAAAGGACGAAGTCAGGGCAGCGAAGCCTCTAAGAATAATGCTGATACACTCAATTACAGCGCATGGCAGCGTCCTTCCCGCAGGAAGACCTGATAAAGTCCGCAGACAGGCCAGAGTCTGAAGTAGAGATCAGTAACGCACGTAATGGACACAGGACTAATACCTAGGATATATTAAAAGCATCTACAAATCTATAAGAAAAATACATAACACAATAGAAAAACAGGCAAAGGATAGAAATAGGCAATTTAGAGAGTAAAATCTGAACTGTCCATAAAAACATGAAGAGATGGTCACCAATAATCAGAAAAATCCAAACTGAAACAACAAAGTATGGTTTCCCGTCCATAAGACTGGGGGAGGGGTTCAAGGTGACGACCCCCAGGCGGCCCTGGGGATGACAGGGGTGTGGACAGATGAGGGCGCCCAGAGAGCACCCAGGAGCCGCAGGTGCAGGAGTGAACCGGCCGCCGATGCGGGACAACGTGGTGGCTCTAACGAGACTCGCCCAGGCTGTAGCCTCACCTAGGGACCCGGGGTCCGCGCTCGGCCAGAGGGACTGCCACCATCAGTGTTTAGGACAGCGAAACATGGGGAGTACGGACAACAAACCGCGGTCTAGTCACACAGGGAAACCAGACGGAAGTGAGACTCATAAATCACAAACCAGGCATCAACGTAAACCCCCCGGGGAGGGGGAGGCCCCGACGGCAAAAGGAGGACACGTCCCGTAAGGGGTCATTTGTATGTGCCAGACAACGTAGCAAACGACACACCATCTACGGATGGACGCATAGCAGCACAAGCATAAAAACAGGCCCAGACGACCATAAAAACAGGAGCGACCGTGGGTGAGGGAAGGAGGGGAACAGCGCGGGGAGAGAAACAGAAAAGGGACTTCAGGGGCGCCCGGTGGCAACAACCACCCCTCGGTCTGGAGCAGCAAAGACAATGGTGAGCGGCGCCATCCGCTATCCCATCTCGCATCTGCACCCCACTCTCTCAGCTCTGGCCAGAGGCGCTCACATCCGGGCCTCCCCGCGGCACACACAGCAGGCAGGACACGGCCACCACAGTTCTACAGATGAGGAAGCAAACCGCCAAGCGGCAGGGCCGCACCCTCAGACTTCGGGTCCAGGGCTGGGCCCGTGCCTTCTACTCTGCCGTCAGGGACGCTGGGCCAGCTCCACAGAAACACACTTTCCTGGCTACGCGAGCCCGCTTACTTTGCCAGGGCCCAATCGTTTATGATTTTAGAAATGGACAAAACTCATTTTTAATGGCCACCAAAGATCTGCTTTCTCAGCTAGAACCTGCCTACCACAATCCAATCTTTCCTTAGTAGCTTGAGATTGCCATGAGGAACTAAAAACACCTGCCATTTTTATGGCACTCAGTGATTATCCAGTTTGCTACTTACACCCAAGTCCGTCACGTAGGATAAGGACTAGCATCCTCACTTCACAGATGGAAGAATGAAGGTCGAGAGCTGAAGTCCTCAGCTTCATCTGGTGACCAGGGTCACCAGTGCCGTCTTTCTGGCCTGTTTCCCGTGGGCGTGTGCCTTCCTGCTCTCCCAGATTGGTTCTGTGGTGAGCTATAGACAAGCAGCTTTCCAGCTGCTCTCTCTGACGCAGGGGCTCACCTTGAGCTCATCAGTTATGGCTCCTGTACTCTTCCAAGCTGGTTAGGAAACACGTCTGTGTGTAGGCCTGGAAAATTGTGCACATCTCCCCCCGGCCCCCAGATGCAGCGTCCTGGGGTTGCCGTTGAGAAGCCTGTCCTCCTGCAGACACACGTCCTCCTGGAGCCTGGTCATGCAGGTGCCTCGCTCTGGGCCCACACGGGGCCGCCGGCCAGTTGCGGGGGTGTAAGGGAAAAGCGGGCCAACTTGGGGCTGAGTTCTACTGCCCGCCGGTGAAGGGGAGAGAGCCGCACGGCGCTAAGTACATATCTAACCGCAGTCCAGCAAATTCGGTTTTGTGACATCTGCATCAGAGATGGTGCCACAGAATGAGCGGCAGACTGAGACGCAGATCAAATAAACATCGGTACATAACCTCCAACCCAGCAGAGGAAACAGTGAAACAGGCTAAGCTGATAAATATAGTAAACTACAGCAAGGGCAGAGAAAACCTTGGCAAACGAGACACACAAACTAAGGTTGAAGTTCAAGTGCATCCTTCATCTTGGCAGACCTGACTGGGTGAAAGACGAAACTCACCGACAGCCGCCTACTTACAAGAGAAATCCCTAGAATGGCAGCGGAGGATGGAGCCCCGGGAGAGGGGCGCTAGTCTAGGCACGCGCCACACCAGCTCAGCACAGACGGCCATCCAGGTGAGCGGCACTGAGGTTCGGAGACAGGTGTGCAGCAACAGCGGCATGGAAAATCCCCCAGGAGACCCACAGCCTGGAGGGCCCAGCATCTCAGCACAGGTTCAAGCAGACGGAGCAGAAACCCAATGAGAGATCGAGTCTCAAGCATCACAAGACACCTGAACAGACCTTTACATCAGCCATCTGCAGATTGTGTAAAAGAAACCAGAAGACTATGGGAGAAAAAGCAATAAAGGAACAAAGACTGGAAATAAACCACGGATGATACAATTCTGTACACAGCAAAACACAATTTACTGACAAAGTACTAGAAAACAAGAGCACAGCAAGATTGCTTGATACAAGAGAACGCATAAAATCAGACGTCTATATATCAGCACGCACGTCGAGTTAAAGTTTTTTTTTTTTTTTTTTTAAAGATTTTATTTATTTATTTGACAGAGAGAGACACAGTGAGAGCACAGTGAGAGAGGGAACACAAGCAGGGGGAGTGGGAGAGGGAGAAGCAGGCTTCCTGCCGAGCAGGGAGCCCGATGTGGGGCCGGATCCCAGGACCCTGGGACCATGACCTGAGCCGAAGGCAGACGCCCAACGACTGAGCCTCCCAGGCGCCCTGGAGTTAAAGGTTTTAAAGGACGCCACACACGAGAGCACGGCGGAATAAATCGAGTGAAAGCTGCACTAGAGCCAACACGCACACACGGTCTATACCTGAGAGGATCTGAGGACACCTGAAACAAATGGAGGCCCCGTCTGTGAATCGGGAAATTCAGTATTAAGAGACATTAACCCCTCGTCAGAATTCCGGGACGCTGTCTGTTGCTGTGTCTGTGTGTGGGGGGAGGGGGAGTGGCTGTGGGTGGAAATCGTATTCTGATTCTGAAACTTCTGTGGAAATGCTGAGGGTCAAGGTCAGCAAAGGCATTCCGGAACAACAGGTGGCAGAGTGTTCCAGAGTCAGAATGAAGACGGTGCACACGAGCCCAGGGCCCAGCAGCGACATCCATGGCAGAGAACACGGGGCCCAGAAAGAGACCCACACATGTGCGGACACTTAATTTACAACAAGAGTGGCATTCTTTGCCACTTTGGGGAAGGAATAATCTTTTCAAATGAAACTTCTCTAGGAAATAAACAGGAAAGGTCTTCTTAACTTTGGCATAGGGAAAAGCTTCAACAAGATGTAAAAACAAACACAAAATATCTTACAGGAAAATACTACTCCCTTGGACCACGGTGAAATTACCAATTCTGTTTATCAAGACACAACTGCAACATTTAGAAGCAAGCCGTATCTTATTTCTCAATACGTGTTTACAGCACAGATAAGCGAGTTAGGGTCCACATGCAGAATACTCCTACAAAGAACTACAAATCCATTTTTGAAAAAAAAAGTAGATGAAGAAAATAAGGAAGGAAGAGAAGGAAAATGTGAAAGAGGGAGGGAGGGAGGGCAAGAGACTTGAACTGGCACTTCCCAGAAGGAGGCATATAAATGGGGTATAAACACATGAAAACGTACTCACACCATCACTCAAACAAAAAATGTAAATTAAAGCCAGAATGAGGGGCGCCTGGGGGGCTCAGTCAGTGAAGTGTCTGCCTTCGGCTCAGGTCATGATCCCAGGGTCCTGGGATCGAGTCCCATGTCGGGCTCCCTGCTCAGCGGGAAGCCTGCTTCTCCCTCTCCCTCTGCTTGTGCACTCTCAAATTAATAAATAAAATCTATCAATCAATCAAACCAGAATGACAGCCGGGGCTCCTGGGTGGTGCCGCTGTTTAAGTGTCCGACTCTTGGCTTCAGCTCAAGTCTGATCTCAGGGTCCTGGGATCAAACCCTGCGTCGGGCTCTGCACTCGGCGTAGAGTCGGCCTGGGATTCCCTCCTGCTCTGTTTCTACCGTGCCCCCCCGCCCCCCCCCCGCTCTCTCTCTCTCTCATAAATGAATAAACCTTTAAAAAACAAAACCAGAATGATAGTCTACACTCCTAGCAGGAGGCTATGCTTACGAAGACTAACGAGTGCGGGCAAGGATGTGTGGCAGCGGCCGCCACGCGCTGCTGGTCGGCATGAAACCGGAAACGCTACTTTGAAAAAACTCTTGACCTATTACAGTTGAACAAACACATCCGCTATGAGCTGCCCATGATACCCCGGGAATGCACCCAACACAAACACACGTACACACGCACCAAGAGACACACACAAGAACAGCAGCTTTGTTTGTAATCGCAAAGACCTGGGAAAACCCCGATGACGAAGACAACAGAACCATGCTCCACTCACACAGCGGGACGCGGCAACAAGCCGCACAAACACGACTCTCACAAAACATGAGCAAAGAGGCCCGTCCCAAGAAAATACCCATTGTGTGATTCTAGTCCTATAAAGCTCATACAGTTCCAGATCCGGCAAAAACCAAAGTACAGCACAGAAAATGAGAGTAACATTTAATCTGGGAGAGGAGGCGAGGCATGGAGATTGGAAGAGGGGATTGCCTAGTGCTTGTAATGTCCCATTTCCTGACTTAGGTCGTGGCTTTACAGATGTTTGTTTTCTCATAAACTGAGCTGTAAAACTTGTATTTTGTGTACTTTTCTATCTGTATATTCTACTTCAATTGAAACAGGAAAATTAGTTTACTGGATTCGTCCACACCGACTCCAATGGCACATTAAAAAATTCAACATTAAAATCTTGAAACTATTTTAAAACACTATCAACGTATATATTTCTATCAGTTTAACATCAAAAAAGGAAAAAGTAGAAGAAAAGAAAATCTCGTCACAAAACTGGAAAAAGAAACAGAAGAATATTTCCTCTAACTTCGCACTCAGACACGCGAAAACACAACGATGAGGCTTGCACCGTTGTGCAACAGATCCCATGAAATCTGGGGGGAAACGATGCCCCGACTACAGCTATCACCCAATATTGTTCTGAACTAAATTCTGTCCAGTAAGAAGAAAGAGAAAAAAGAAAAGGTATAAAAATTGTAAAGAGAGAAACAGAGCTTTACTTATTTGTAGGTGATCTCATCTATCTGGAAAAACAAAAGAATTAACTAACAAAATCTCATTATTCATCAAATCTAAAACATCAAGACATCCTTAATTTTATGCACCAATGGGAAATTTTAAAACACTGCCAATTAATTATAAGATATCATCAACGTAAGAACATACCCCAATCTCAGAAATGTTCCACTGCACCCCTCAGAACCAACGAAACGCAGCGTGGTTGCCGCCCGGAGGTCTGGGCAGGGTCCCACGGCTCTGCTGGAAGGAGCAAGAACCCGCTTCGACACACACTAAAAAGATGATCCCGTTCACAGTAGCACTAAAAACCACAAAATGAGAAAACTGGACATGAACCTAACAAGGAATCCAGGAGTCCCTAGGAACCCTACCTCAGGAATTCTCGTGTGCCGAAAACCATACCCTTCCCCTGCAGGGAGGCAGAAAGGGCACCATGATGCCACTCCCCCCCAAGCAGGCCAGCCTGTGAACTCGAGGGGCCCGTCACACCCCCCACGGCCTCTGTCCTGGAACCTGACTAGCACCTTCTAAATTCCTCTGAAGATACGCAATCTCCATCAGCAAAGTTTGAAGAAGAACAGCAAAGAGGAGGAGCCTCCTGAAATAGTAAAATACATAAGAACAACGATTCTGCCCACAAAGTGCAGATCTCTGTTCCAGGAAAGGGATCCTAAACCAAGTCAAAAACAAGTGACTGAGAGAAATATTTGCAATCCGTGCAAACCCAGAAAGGAGGCCCAGAGTGCAGGAAGACCCTCTGCACATGCGAGAGCATGATGCCGGCCCCCAGAGGGCCGAGGGCGTGCACAGAGGAGGGGGCACACGCCCGGGAGCACCATGACCTTCCTCCCTGAGTCAGGACAGGACAAGACACTGGAAGATTCTTACAATTTCACGACATCAAGTACTTGGCAAGGATGTGGGAAATACACTCTGATGCTCACTGTTCACCAACATCACCGTGGGCCTGTTCAAGGGCAAGCGGGCTAACCGTCGAAACGTGCACAAGCCAGCAATTCTGGTTCTGGGGACAGCAAGTTATTTATTACCTGCGCTAAAAACATACACACACGTCGCATGGCTACCCGTGCGTATGTGTGTACCTCTCAGTAAAATCTAAATAAACAAACGTTTAAAAAGGGGGGGTTCTCACTTCCAGCTCTTCAGGAATCTCCTTTGGGTGACCCAAGCGTGATGATGTGAAAGAGAGAACCTGACATTCCCCACCCTCCTCTATGGGAGGGCCCTTCCTCTATGGGGGACAACCCTCCTTTATGGGGGACGACCCATCTCTATGCGGAGGGGACCCTCCCTCTAGGGGGGCTCTTTCCACTACAGGGGGCCCTCCTCTGCGGGGGACCCTCCAGCCTCTCACCCAAGGGCACACTCTGGTTGCTACTTGCTTCTCTGGGTTCAAGTGCACCTGCTGTGGACCAGGTTTTAAGTCCTGACCTCCCCTCCATGCAGCCTCTGTGTGGGCCAGAACCAAACGCCACACTGTGAACGCCTCAGGACACATACCAGCAAGGAGCGTTTTTGCCCCCGAAGGCCATCTTGCTTCCTCTGGAAATGTCTCCTTTGCTACAAAGGGTCTCTTCTCACTCTTGGGCGAAGGACTCTGCCATCTCTCCAAGGCCCTGTGGCCACCAACAGGAAACCTGCTCCGAGTTTCCATGACACTTTTCTTCACTTGTTTTGGTGACGGTTTCTTCTCCAGGAGGGATTCCAAAGCCTGCCATGAAACAGCCCATTATTGTCTTCGATTATCTCACCAAAGTCTGCTGCTGACCACAAACCCGAAAATCAGGCCCCCAGACAAACGTGTCATTACACGTCCATGTCTAGTGGTCAACGGCATGTCGTTTAGCTGGAAAACTGAGGACATCTACTTAATGAGAGAATTCTGCATGTCCTTTTACACATTTAGCTCACTGAAACCAAAAGCACAAAGAAAAAGAACAGGACTACTTTTAAAGGCATCCAAATCCACCATATTCTAGAAACCAACCGCGGCCTTCAGAGCCTAATCCTACATGCTTTATAGATGTCTTAATTCTTGATAAAAATCTCATACACTCAAATGGTATTTTCAGTGGGCAAAGGAACTACGTGTAACATACCTTTTCATAAACCACGCAGCATGCCCAGGGCCGTGGCCACCCACCCACCCACCCCACGTGCCCCCATTCCTACAAGAGGCACCTCTTGCTCATCAGTGGGCAGCAAGCGCCAGCCTCCAGCGGGACTGTGCAAACTGAAGACAACTGAGCGTGGCCGGGGAGACTCACTCCAGGGACAGTAAGGCACAAGGACAGCAAGCCTTGGGAGGTGCAGCCCATCAATGGGACAAAGTTCCTCGCATTACTGACAAAAGTGTGTAAGAAGCATCACGTTAAGGTGCTCCTGCTTAAACTCCGGGAAGGGACTAGATAAGCCCTTGAAGTCTTTCCAGGAGATGAAGATGTGCCCACCACGTCTGTTACGGGCAAGCGTAAAAAGCACCACGTGACCTGCCACGCTGTCAGAGGGTCTGCACCCGACAACATTCCTGGGCTGAGTCCTCCAGGCACCGGTGCCACCTGCAAACCACACACGCCGTGCCAGCAACGGTCAAGGAGGAGGGGCCACGGGGGCCACCGAGGGCTAGTTAACTTAGTCCAGAAGTCTCCCTCCAGCGCACCTGTCCCCCGTGTCCCACCAACATGAAGGTCGCCTTTCGCCTGTGGACGGATGTGGGGGGGTCGGAGCTAACTCCAGCGAGGGAGTCACGGGGACAGCGTGCGAGGAACATCGGTGGCACCTCTGGGACCTTCTTCATCTGCAGCGCGATGGTAATAAAGCCTGTGCGGCTCCCAGCACTGCAGCAGGGGCAGGACGCACAAGATGGGGGCATCCTGTTCTTGCCGGCTCTGTCCCGACTAGTACCTGCCAGGGGACGGCCGGGCGTCTCCAGCCGCTGCACGGCTTCAAGCGCCTCTTCTTCCCAGAAGTCCATCGAGACAGCACGCACACTCTCATCCAAGCACTAACCGAGGAGTGCGTTACTGCTCTCCTTTTCTGTGCTAACAGGTCCTCTCTCGAGTGGCACGGCCAAGGGATGGAACGTTCTGGTGAATCAACGAACTGGTTAAGAGTCGATGCACGTTCTATACCCAAGCCACCCATTCTCAAACAAGTGAGGTACAATGTTACAGGCTAGACTGTAAAGCTGACAAGATAAAAACGAAGTGCGTCCTCCGTCCTCCGCAAAGCTCGAATTCACCAGGTGGCAGCTTTGTCTTGTCTTCTCCTTAAATCCCAACGGAACCAGGCCACAGTAAGCATTACCTCCCTGCTTAGAAACAAAGCACTTTTAACAAAACCTGGAGTCCATTTCATACCTCAATCTGTCGCAGGATGTCCACGACCACATCGGGGACGGAAGGGTCGGCGTCCAGCTTGGCGGAGCAGAGTGACAGCCGGCGGATAAGGCTGCCCAGCTCCCTACAGCGCGCAGGAACTGGGTGCTCCCCACGGTCCATAAGCTGTGTCACCAACACCTGTAAGGCCCGGATGGCTCCTCGGTGGGCAGCCGCCAGCCGTGACATCACCCATGACTGGCGATGAATGGGGGGGGGGCAGTTATTTCAGAATTCAGAACTTCACATTAGTCCCACCCTCACGAGGATTTGTGGCCTGTCTTCTTTCTAGACAACTTTGTACTCGGACACTTTCTCACAGCAGGGAATTACGAAGTTCAAAGGTTTTCTCTGACAAATAGCTTTTTCCTTCCTATTATCAGTTTCTTACACCAGCAGCAACAGAGTCTGTTCCTTGGAGGGCCACACCAAATGCAGGATATTTACAGTGCTCGTGCCCCCACCCCAGACCCGTCTCTACAAGCACCGCGCACCTGTTAGTGCAGAGAACCCACACGCACAATCCCCACCAGACACTGGAAATGCAACTTATAAACAAGCAGTATCCATCATGACAGACTGCGTCATACCTTCTTCGTGTGTCTGATTTTATGTGGACTCAATTTATCCAACTCTTCCTGGATCTCTTTCACCTGTTTCGTAAAGGGGAAAAAGTGAAGACTTCAGACCCGTCCACTGATCTGTCTTGTCCAAATACAATCACTGTTTAATTCAAGTCACTTGAAATGAGACAAGGCTCTTCACTTGTGACCCAAAACACGGTCCCCAGCTTCAAGTTCAAGACGGTGAATGGAGCACAGTGTCCCCCCCCATCCCTTGGTCCCAGCATCACGGGAACCTCCCAGCAGGGAGAAAAGGTGGGAGCCCACGTTGCAGCGTGGGCTGCACTATGTTGGGAGAGCCCTGACAGGGTCGGATGCGTGTTCCAGAACAATCTCAGTGGCTGCAGTGTGGAGCGAGGACTGAAGCACCACCCCACAACAACACGGAGCAAAGTCTAATTCAGGCATCTCTCCTTTTACAGGAAAACATTCAGCTTTTGGTTCAAGCAGTAAAGCCAGCCTGTGATGTAAGTGACGGGAAAGGAGTCAAAGGTGGATTCGTGAGAAAGGTGCTACAGTTAAAACAGACATCTAAGAGCAATCTATCTGCAACGTAAACAACGTGAATGCCTGCTCACCAAGACCCTCAGCACGCCTCCCTCCTTCACTGTTCAACAAGACAACCGCACGATCTGCCATTACTCAGCATCTGGCCCAGCACAGATGGGAGGCAGGCGGGAAAGTGACCAGGCCCCGTCCCTCTAACACCAGGGCACCAGCTGGGGCCCGGGGGCTTCAGGGTCACCGGTCCACTCGAGTCTGTCCACAGAAATACATGCTTTACCAGCACCGTTTTCCAGGACAGGACTCACACTCTCAGATTCTCAAGAACGTATGACCCCAAAAAGCCAAAAACCACTCTTTAAGGACTTCGACCCTAAATTCACATTACACAGATACACATGAAGGCAGACGGCAAAAAGAAAAGAACCACTTGTCCACACATTCAGGAAATTCAGGCTCTGAAACGCAACAGGAGTCACGTGGGACACTGCACTCGTGCTGCTGAGACGGGGCAGGGGAAGCTCTCGGTAGGGCCCCCAAGGCCGGCGGCCACTCCCCCACTCCCATACCTGCTGCTGCAGGACATAGAGCATCCGGGCGGAGCGCACGGATTGCTCCTGCCTCCGGACTTGGACTCGCCGCTCCTCATCTGGATCCAAAGCTTCTTCTGCTCTACCTGAAAACAGTGTTTCCCCAAAAGTGGATTATACATACATACAGAAACGCATGAAAACGCATGAAAATTATTCCAAGACATAATAAAGCTGAAGATCTCTAGTTTTATAAAAACAAAACAATGGGGCTCCCACAAAAAATTCTCCACCAGCCAAGAAATGAGGAAGGAGCGGGCCTGTGTGTGACCCAGTTGGAAGAGACACAGGACCTCAGACCAAGCTCCCGCCACTCGGGAGTCCCGGAACCAGACCCCAGTGGAAGCTTCCGCCGCTGCCAAGCATCGCTGACTACTTTGAAATTCTTTCTACTGAGCCCAAACCTATAACGCTATTTTTTTCAGAAACCCTTTATTGGCCTATTTTATGTTCGGCAAGATTTCTTTGATACTTTCTTATCTTGAATCCAAAAGAAAAATCCTTTCTTAACACGTTCAGACTGCTCGAATGTCCAGAGCCTTGATGTCTTTGTCAGGGAGCGCACCCTTGTACCCATGGGTGCCCCAGGTTTTCAAACCACATGCTCAAAGAAACGGTTTCTGGGGGACTCTGACGGCTGTGCAAGCATCCGCTCCCGAGCCAGTGGTTTTCCAGTATGTTTATCCAAAACAAGCTCTTATGCAAAATCCCAGGATACAAGTCAGAAAAAGCCATGTTTTATTAGTGCAAGTGTATTTTATAAACTCAAATATTTAACATTTACTCATTAAGAAGCCAAATGATGAAAAATTTTTGTTTTGAGAAAAGCAAAACTTTGAAATCTGGAGTTCTGGGTACAGACACCTGCTCACGGGGCCAACCAGCCAGACTTCTGTCTCGTGTGGGCCACGCAGCACAGAGAAATGCGGGTGCCGCATGCGTGTGTGAATGTCATGGACACTGCTCCGATGGGGCTCCAAACCGCCACCCAGCAGGCGGTTCTGAGACAAGGGGTCTACGGAGCCGCACCCGGGAAGCACCCTGGGCACGTCAGGGCCCCCGGAAGGGTGGTCCGCAGAGGGGGCCGTGGCAAACTGTGCCCAGGCCGCGATGAGTAAGCGCAGAAATTTAAACCATGCACGTATAGGTTTTTATAGCTATTTGCCATTGTGGTGACACTTCTGCTATAGTTCAGAAGGTATGATTTGTGACAACTTGAAATTTTAAACTAACAAATAAATGAGGGGTGGCTGGGTGGATTGGTGGGCTAAGTGTCCAATTCCTAATTCTGGCTCAGGTCATGATCTCAGGGCCATGGGATCGAGCCCCACGCTCAGCAGGGAGTCTACTTGAGATTCTCTCTCCCTCCGACCCTTCTCCCCTGTCATGTGTGTGCATGTGCTCTCTTTACACCTAAAAAAAGTAGAATAAAATAAACGAGAAATCACCCAAGCCAGTCCTTCCCCAGAGTTTGAGAAGCTCTCTATAAAGGTCCCTGGGTTAGGTTATGTCATCAGAGCAGGGCTCTGTCACTCGACAGCACGGCTTCCACCATGGGGTGCCACGGGGTGACCCCAGCAGCCCACACCGACACTCCTGTCACCACCCACAATATCGCACAACACACTCGTCAGGAAGACCACGGGAGAAAGGTCTTCCTGACACAGCCATGGTCTGTTGCAGACCTTGTAAACTCTGCAACAATCACCTTTCCCTCTTCAGCCAGCCGCTTGGAAGCTCAGGAACAAGTCCTGTTTCTCCTGTGCCGCCATATCCTCACTTGGCGTATTTCTGTTCTGCTGCTCAGTCACATTTACCTCGGGAAGGCAGCTTAAGCGCCTCGTGGCACGTGCACCTGTCTGCAGAGGATCCCTACAGACCCCGGAGGCGGGGGGAAATCCTAGCAGTGGTCCCCAGGGATGCTCAACCCCCCACTCCTCGCAGCTGGGAAGCTGGCCTCCTCTCTCCGACCTGCTAGTCTAACCCAAACTCGCCATAAGGAGTCCGTTCCCTACTCCGCAGGGAAATGCGGGGCAGAGAGAGCACTGAACAACCCTGGGAAACAGTATGGGATGACCGCACACCCTCCCTTGTGCCTGGTGGTCAGACGCCCCCCTCACACACACCCCCAGCTCCTGTTACAGCTGCGAGCCCATCTAAACGCTGCTCCGTTACGACCAGCTTTATCTAAACAAGCGCATATGATGCTCTTTTTTGAGCAAATTACAAATAATTTTGCCAAATGGCAAAACGCAACAGGATGATTTGCATTCGGGAGCCGTGGGACAGGGCGGTGTCAGCTGCCTCTGCCTGACAGAGGGGCCAGGGCAGGGCCAGCTCCCCGGGAAGACAGACTCTGGCCAAACTCCCAGCCCACATGCCTCGTGGGTTCTGCTCATGCGGGGGGGGGGGGAATGGGATGGGGGCGGGGGTCCGGACGGACACGCTGGACTACCCCACTCCCCTGCGGGGTCTAGGTGCTCCCACCTTTCTCAGACACTGCTTCCATCTTGTGGACACAAGTGTTCAACGCCCTCTGGAGCCGCTGCACTTCCAGCAGGCTCTGGTGGCTGCTGGTCCCAGGAGGGGGCTCCGGCCCCGGGGCGCGTGTGGGCGGCGAGTGGGGCGCGGCCGGACGGGACGGTGCCGGACAAGCTGTGTACAGGCACACCTTGGCACCTGAGCAGGACGCTCCTACCGTGGACGGCTGGTGGGCGCAATGACACGTGTCCCGGCTCCTTGGTTCCTTCCTTTGCGCCCTGTGCTCGGGGATCTTATGCTCATGGGGCCCCCACCTCTGACAGAGCTGGGGCTCACTTCTGAGGCGGTACTGCTTGACGTGTTCCTCCAACTGTCTGCGCTTCATGTCTCTCCTGGCCAGGTGCACGGCGTAGCTGAGCCTCTCTTCCGAGATGATGGAAAACGAAGCAGAGCCGCTCCCGTCGGGACCATCCCTCAAACCCAGATCCTGACGGTGGTACGACTCGCTGTACGACTGCCTCAGCTTCTCAATTCTGATTGCATGCGGGCAAGAATAGCGGGCTGCCAAGTTGCTGGAATGGGCAGGAACGCTCCTATTAAACTGCAGCTGGTTCTTTAAACAAAAACAAAAGCAAGAGCACATGAGAGAGAGCACATCCATCTGAGGCCAAGTTTCCAAACTCCCACCACACAATCGTGAGCACTACGAGGTATTCTTCTGCAAGGACGGAAGCAGCCACTCTTGTACCCCTGACCTCATCACACGCCCACGGCTCCCACCCACATCACCAGGCCACGGTGCCACCCTCCCCTTCACAGAGCAGCCCCTGAGCCCCTCATGTCCCCCATTACCCACTCTACATGGCCTCAAAAGGTCAGGTTCCGGCAGAGACAACGCAGTCTGTCATGAGCTCTGCGGACTCGGCTCCCGGACACCCCACGCACAGGAGCCGCACTGGACGAGGCCGTGCACCTGTCAGCTGCAGCATGTCCTTGACCCTGCACCTGAGAGCATCCCGCTCCCCAAGGTCTACGTACACCTTCCCACGCACGCCTCAGGTTTTGTCCGTTTGAACCATAACAGATATAAGTTTCGTTCTGCTTTCCTCTGTAGGAACAAAGCCATGTTTCCAGAGGCTAACATTTCCATTGTTCTTCATGGTGGCATTCCCCAAAATCCCACAAATGGCCTTTTCATGCCTAAACTAGCTATAACCTTGCTAAGCATTTAGATGGTTCCAGTTTTTCCACTAACAGAAATATTGCTTCAAATAGTATCTCCACACATTTAGCTTTTTTCTCATTTTAAAGAATTTCTTTAGGATGGAGTACCCGTCTGGGATTACTAAGTCAAGGGGAACAAACAAGTTTACAACTGTGGGCCCCATGGCAGGTCAACAGCCCAAGTCCGCGCCTCCACCACGAGCCCTTTGCCCCAGGGACAGCCGCCTGGGCCTCATAAAGGGTGATCGTGTGTCATGTGACGAAGGGTCCGTTTAAAATGAGCCCACTGTGGTAAAACTTCAGGAAAGTATTTTGGAAACAACTTAAAAACCTCACTGGAAGTCATGAGAGAAAAAAACAAAGGGTTGCCGTCCGAAGGGTGCAGACTGACAGACAGCCCATGAGATGTACAATTTTATTCGGAGAAAGTTTAACGTCCAAAAGTAAAAATAACCAAAATACCTGAGCGGGTGGATACGAGCACTAGAAAAAACACATATAGGTAAATTCCTCTTGAGCCCGGCTAAAGAAAGCCTTTCTAACTAGGACTCAAAATCCATTTGCAATAAAAGAAGAGAGTGATACATTTTACTACATTAACATACGAATTTTATTTTATTTTTTTAAAAGATTTATTTAGAGCGAGCAAGCACACGCAGGAGGGGCGGAGGGCAAGGGAGAAGCAGACTCTCCACTGAACTCAGAGACCAACGTGGGGCTCCATCTCACGACCCCGAGACCATGACCTGAGCTGAAATCAAGAGTCGGATGTTCAACTGACTGAGCCACCAAGGCACCCTAAAATACAAATTTGAAAAACAACAGGCCTGGGGCGCCTGGGTGGCTCAGTTGTTAAGCGTCTGCCTTCGGCTCAGGTCATGGTCCCAGGGTCCTGGGATCAAGCCCCGCATCGGGCTCCCTGCTCAGCGGGAAGCCTGCTTCTCCCTCTCCGTCTGCCTACTGCTCGCCCTGCTTGTGCTCTCTCTCTCAAATAAATAAATAAAATCTTAAAAAAAAAAAAAGGCCTGTGAGGATTAAAAACACCACAAACAAAGTCAAAGAACTGAAAAACTGGAAGAAAAATATTTGTAAATACAAAGGGCTCTCTAAAGAAATGTTAAAATTGAGGTGAAAAGAGACCAAAACTCAGTAGAAAATGGGTGTGTGCAGGAAGGACAGGAGAGGTGAGGGAGAGGAGACACTCTCAAACGCCGTCTCGTGCAGGTACGTTGGCGACCACGCTGACGTTTCACATGCAGCAGGGACAAGGAGAATAAAATCTATAAAGACAAAGGAAAGCCCTAAAAATAAACACTAACAGAAACCAATGCACCAAACTGCTCTGATATAAATCAGTCAGTCACCGCTTACCAACCATCAGAATAAAAAACTGACCCAGGCAAAAATTATCGATGAATGCTAAACTAGTTCATCGGTTTGGGGAGCGAAAGGATGCTAACATGGTCCCGAGGACCGACACTTGCAACTGCAAAGAGAAGTGTGAAAGCAAGTCTACAGGGGAGGCTGGGCAGACACACCCTCACTGCTGCCAGGTTAGGACGAGGTCCACAGCGGGCGCCTCCCAACAGGACACAAGAGAAGGGCTCAGCATCATGGGGCAGTTTTCCCTCCATAAGGACGTAACAGGAATGTCATTCTGAGAAATTTCAGACAAAGCCAAACTGATACAAAATCATCAAATAACTGGCCTGTATTTTTCAAGAATGCCAATATCATGAAATACAAAGACAGTCTCACAAAGTGTTCAGATCAAAGGAACGAGACAAACGTGGCAACTCATGCCGCTCAGTGACCTGGGATTCCTTCACCATAAAGGACACTATTGGGATAACTCATGAAATCTCAATAAGGCCTGTACGTGACACGGTAGCTTTATCTTAACGTGAACTTTCAGATTCTGATCACGTTATTATGTAAGAGAAGTGCTTGTTTTAGGAAATACATACCGAGTACTTAGCGGTAAAAAAGCATCATGTCTTCAAGTTATACCTCACCAGTTTAGAAAATGCGTGTGCAACGTGGTGTGTGTGTGCACATGGGTGCGCATGTACGTGAGAGTTGCGTGTGCACATGTGTACGTGTGCATGGATGCATGTGCGTGTGCACACGGGGTGCATGTGTACGTGTGTGCCCATGCACGTGGGTGTGTACGTGTGCATGCGTGTGCACATGGGTGTGTGTGCGTGTGTGTGAGTGCGCATGTGTACATGTGAGTGTGCACGTGTATGTGAGCATGCACGTGTGTGAATGGGTGCATGTGCGTGTGCACACACGGATGCGTGTGAGTGTGCACGTGTACATGGGTGCGTGTACGTGTGCGTGCATGTGCACATGGGTGCATGAATGTGCGTGTGTGCATGTGAGTGTGCACTGGGTGTGTATGTGAGCATGCACGTGTGTGCATGGGTGCATGTGCATGTCGCACACGGGTGCATGTGTGTGAGCGTGCACGTGTACATGGGTACATGTACGTGCGTGCACATGTGCCCATGGGTGCATGTATACATGTGAGTGCACGTGTGCACACAGGTGCGTGTATATGTGAGTGCATGTGTGCACATGGGTGCGTGTGTACGTGTGAGCATGCGTGTGTGTGCATGGGTGCATGTATACATGTGAGTGTACTGTGCACATGGGTGCATGTGCACGTGTACATGTGAGTGCACATGGGTGCGTGTGTACATATGAGCATGCATGCGTTTGCATGGGTGCGTGTATGTGAGCACCTGGGTGCACATGGGTGCGTGTGTGAATGCACGTGTGCACATGGGTACGTATACGTGTGAGTGCACGTATGTGCAAAGAGGGACAGAGAGAAAGAGACACGGGAGAGGGAGGGGAGATGTAGTAAGAGCATTAACACGTGGGGAGTCTGGGAGAAGCACACCCAGGAATTCTGTGTACTACTGTTGTAACTTTTCTGTCAGTTTGAAACTATGTCAAAAAATTTTTATAAATTTTCTTGGTAAACTACAATGAGATATTACTTCACACCCAGCAGAAGGGACCCAATTAAAAAAACCACTCCAGGCTGGCAAAGCAACTGGGGGTGCTTGATAGTTGGTATGCACAGAAGATGGCACAGCCCCAGGGAGGTCTGCTGGTTTGTTAAAAGACTAAACATACACCATCCCCTGTCCCAGCGACCTCACTCCCTGGTATTTACCCAAGACATGAAAACACGTTGACAAACAGAGGTGTACCAGGAAGCTCCCAGCAACTTCATGTGCAGGAACCCACACCAGCAGCCAGAGAACTACCAGGGACACTGCTTAGTGTTCCAAAGCGGCCGCGCTGGCTGAGGAGCCCATGCATCATGCCCAAAGAGGCCTGACACACGAGATCACGTGGCATAGGAGTCCATTTACAGGAAGTCCTGTAACAGGCAGAATCCATCTACGGTGGAAAAAATTACAATGACGGTGGCCTTGGGAGGGCAGGAAGGAGCACAGGAGAATTCTCTGGAGCAATGGAAAAGACCTCCACCCTGATAGAGGTACGTGCAACACCTGTGTATACATTTGTCAAAACTCAGCAAATGTGACAACATGCATACGTTTTGATGTATTCATTTCAGATGTAAAATATGCATCAGAAGAAAAGAACTGAAATTCTAAGAACGAGCTCCAAGAATGAATTCTAGCGTGTGATGTGCATGCTGAGGCAGGCAGGGTGCCCGTGTCTGCACCTGACTTCCTTATTTATCAGAGTAAGATGGGCTGATGGATGGATTCTGGAGGGTGGACTGAAGGTCAGACAGTCAATGAAACAAATACCACGAAATCGTAATGCAATTTGGGTGTTCGCTGTAGAACCCAATGTTGTTGTGTGAAGATTTTCATACATTTTCAGTGTTGGGGGGAAACACATTTTGGGGACAACCGATGAAGCTGAGGGAAAACTGGTTATTACATAATATTAGGGAATGATTTTTCGTCCATTTTGTTAGGTGTGATAATGGTTAAGTAGAGAGTTTACTTTTAAGACTATTCTAAAATACTGAGTATTCTAAAATATCTAGAAGGGAAGCGTCATGGCGTCTGCAGCTGCCTTTGAAGTGGTTCTGCAAACATCCGAGAGAAAAACAGGACAAACCGCTAACAACTGTTGAATCTCGAAGGTGGTTTAAAGGGTATTTACTGTCCTTTTCCTCCAACTTCTGTTCAAAATGTTTCCTGATAAAAATCTGAAGAGAGAAAGGGAAGAGAACTACCTGGGCCTGAAGTGTCCTGGGGTCACTCCTCCCATGTAACTGGACGCAAGGTGCTAGATGAGCGCAGGCGGAGGCTGGCCTGCCTGGGCCCATCCCGTCAGAGCGTGCGGGACGCTGCAGAGAGCCTCGCCGCCGGCCAGCACTGCTCTCCCACAGTCATTGCCTAAAATGAGAGAAAGCCACTTCAGACCAACAGTATTCAAACACAGGAAGAATAAGTAAAATGGCACCATGCTCATGCAACAACATTCTAGAGAAGTCCATAGCAGCCTCACGTGTAACAGCGAGGGCTTCAGGACAGGTACAAAAGCATCTTCCCTTTTGAAACCCTACTTCCTGAGAGAATACGGGGTGCACTATTCTAATGACTAGCTGTTGAGCCATTCCAAATATCAGATCTCAAGGGATCACCAGGAAGACAGGAGCTCCACTACAGTAGGCGAGCAACTTTCCAGCAGGGTAGCTTTATGGACACAGTCTACGTTCACAAACCCCAACCACTAGTTAGAAAGCGGTCTGCTCTACTCTCCCGGGTAGCTGAGGTCAGAACTCTGCAGGACTCTAAGGAAGCCTGTGGGAGGATCAGAATGCCCAGACTTAGGGCAGATCTTCCGCTGGAGGCCCCCCGCCCACAGTGGGCTAAGACAGGAAGGTGTTCTGGGAGCTGATGTGGGCTATGCCCCCCCCAACACTTCGTTACCCCTGCACTCAGCACGAGCTCGTCACGACCTCGCCTCACGTTGTTATTTACCTATGTCACGGGGTAAGTCTCATCTTCCCGGCTAGACAAGGCTCCTGGAGGGTAAGGACCTGTCTTGCTCTTCTCTGATATTTCCCACAACACTGTGCTTGGAGCATGGCAGACACTTTAACTCAACACTTGTTGAATTAAGCTGATTTTCCATAAACTGACTAGTTTTCAATGTACTGGGGTATTTGTTCTGTCAAAGAATCCTATAGTAAATCAATGGGGAAATCCAGGTCTTAAGAAAAAATCCCTAATTTCAGCTTTTGCATAAACCCAAGATTTGCAGACAAGATTTGCTTCAAGACAGATGCATCGGCAGGAACATCAGGGCAGCTGTTCAAGATCCCCTACTCCTAGGGCTGTCGAGACGTGAGGGGCAGGTGAGCAAGGCAGCCCCGCTGCTGCCTGACAGCCGCCACAGTGCAGGGGCTGCAGCCGCAGGGTCAGGCGGCCCGCAGAGTGGGGCCATGCGTGCACAAGTCTGTCGAGGCCGGCACTTTCCCACTCTCCACTAGGAAACACTAGGTGATCCCTCGAGTGACGCCACACGCACACACACAAACACGCACGCACACGCACAAACACACACAGTCCAGGGACACCCACCCCCACACTGTCCCCCTGTACAAATGCCTGGGACACCCCTCTCTTTGCAACCTGTCCCCACCCCACTGCTCCAGGAAACCCCCCCATTTGTCACCCAACATCCCCTAGGACGTCACTACGAAGCCTCTCTCCCAGATCCTGAGACACCCCTACAACTTGTGTCTTGGTCCATGACCCAGGCCACACCTCCCCCCAACCTGTCCCCTCCCACAGAGCCCAGGACCCCCCCACTTGCTCCCTAACATACTACTGGAAGGCCCCCCTCAGCCTGTCCTCCCCCACACGGCGCTCTCCCAGAGGGCTCCGCCTCCCCCTAGCTCCAGACGCTCCCCCCGCCTGCCCCCCCCCACTCTGCTGCCGGTGATCCCTGAAACGGCCCACGCCTGTTTCTGGCCTTGAAACCGGGGGCGCCCCCAGGGCAGTTCTGGTCCCTGACACGGCGCACACGCTCTCCTGGTCGGCCTCTCCCCCACCAGGCCTCGGGCAGCTCCGCGACCTGGTCTCGCAGCCGTGGGTGCAAGGCACCCCTGCCGCCTGGCTCCCCCCAGTCAGCTCCAGACTCCGGCCTCCTGCCTCCTCCCCTGAAGCTCCCTCCAGGGACTGTCTCCTCAACGCTGGGAGGCCCGAGGCAGCGGCAGCCGTTTCTTCTCCCGTACACCCGGTCACCCACACCGCGGCAGGCGCGCGCCCCGCCGTGGGAACCCCTACAGCCGCGAGCACCCCCAGAGACACAGGCACCCGCACGGCCTCAGTGGCCGGTCCACTGGGTCTCCTTCTCCACAGGCCTGAGACACCGTCGGAGCCACTTGTCCCGTCAGCGGGTCCTGCAGCCCCAGCAGCAGTGGGCACCTCCATCACTGGTCTCTGTCCCCATACCCCTGAAGCATCCCCAGAGCCGGCATCAGCCACCATCGGCCCAGAGGCCCCCACAGCCACGGAAAGGCCAGCAACCGCGGGCATCTCAGCAGTCCGTCTCCCTCCCAACAAGCCTGAGGGGCCCCCGGGGCCCAGCCTTTCCCCCGTAGGCGCGGGCATCCTGGCAGTGTTGGGCACCCCCAACCTTGTGGGAGCCCAGGCGTCTGCTGGTCCTCGTGCTGTCTCCCTCTCCCCCCACAGGCCTGCAACACCTCCAGGCACAGACTCTTCCGGGACAGACCTAAGCGTCCTGGGGGCCACGGGCACCCCGCCAGCAGTGGACATCCCTGCAGTCTGCCTCCTTTCCAGCAAGCCTGAGAAACCCCCGGAGCCGGCCTCCAACCCCAGAAGACCGGGCACCCTGGCAGCCGTGGGCACCTCAGCAGCCCCAGACGCCCTGGAACTCGGTCTCCTTCCCCAAGATCTCGGGACACCCCCGGGGTCTGTCTCCTCCCCCACAAGCCCAGGCGCTTCAGGAACCCCGACAGCCTGTCTCCTTCCCCATGATCCGGGGAAAGCTGCAGAGCCAGTGTCCTCATGCACAGACCACAGCTCCTCGGGGGCCGCGGGGACCCCTGCAGCCACGGGTACTGCGGCGCTTCGAATGCTTTCCCACAGGTTCAAGACATCTCTGGAGCTGCCTTCCTGACACACGGGGCCAGACACCCACACCGCGGCAGGCACCCTGGCAGGCACCCTTCCAGGCCCGGGCATACTCAGTGCTGGGGGGACCCCTGCCGGGGCACAACTGTGCTTGGGCAAAACCACGGCCCCGGGCATCCTCTCTGGGTCAGGCCACCCCACAGCCCGTCTCCTTCTGCACACACAGGACCCATCGCCACAGCCGGCCTCCTGATCTGCAGGCCCGGGCACCCCTAAAGCTGTAGGCCCCAGGGCCTCCTGCTCCCCCAGAGCCGGCCTCCCCTCCCACAGGCTCATGACGTGCCCACAGCTTGTGTCCTCCCCAACAAGCCCTGCCACCGCATCGGCCAGAGGCACCCCCAGAGCCTGCTGCCTCTCCCACTGGCTGGGGAGACCTCCATGGCTCACCTGTTCTCCTGGGGCTCCTGGTGGTACCACCACAGCCTGGGACACCCCCACAGGCTGCTCGGTCCCCCACAGACCCGGGAGGTTCCCACAGTCTGTCTCCTTCCCCAGAGCCAGAGGTACTCCCATTCCCAGCCCTGTACCCCACAGCCCTGGAGCACCCCCAGAGCCTACCTCCTGCTCATCACAGCCACCAACCCCTGTGGTCTGTGTGGCTGCCCGTGACCCCGCGTCACCTACAGACCCAGTCTCTACCCACACGCCCTGTCCCCTTTCCCTGAATCCTGTGTCAGCCCGACATCCGGTTTCCTCTTCAATAGCACAAGGCACCCCCATAGGCTGTCCAGCACCCCATATGCCAGGAACGCTGCCAGAGTCCACCCCCTCCACAGCCTGCCTCCCCCGCCACGTGCCCAGGGCACCCACGGGGGTCGCTTCCCCCTCCCCGCCTCTGGGTGCCCCCACAGCATCAGGCACCCTCGCAGCCTGCCCCCTCCCCCACAGGCCCGGGGCGCCCCCACAGACCGCCCCCGGCGCCTGCACTGGCTGGCCCCTGCCCCGCACACCCGGAGCGGCCCCACAGCCCATGTCTCTCTGCGCAGCCTCAGGCCACCCCATGGCTCCAGGCACCCCCAGAGCCTGTCCTCGCCCCAGCAGGTACGGGATAATCCCTGAGCTCGTCCCCAGGGCCGCAGGCACACCCCCAGAAAGCAGGCCCACGGTCGGTCCCTGCCCACACAAGCCCGAGGCCGCCCCACAAGCTGCCGCAGACCCCCCTGGGGCCCCGGGGGCCGCCCGGGCCTGCCCTTTCACCCACGGCCCTGTGAGGCCAGCCCGGCTCGTCTCTACCCAGGAAGCCCGGCCGGGGACACCCCTCTCAACCGGGCCCTCCCCTGCAGGCACCGGGTGGAGCTCCACCCTGCTTCCTTCCCCACAGCCCGAGGCTGCCCTCAGAGCCTGCACCTTCAGCCACAGTTCCAGAATGCTCTCGTGCCCCGTGGAGCCCGGGCGGCCTTTCCGCTCACAGCCCCGGGAGCTCGGAGAAAGCGCCCCCTCCCCCTCCCCCCCGGTGCCGGTCACCCACACTGACCCGACGGGCCCCACCACCTGGGGCTGCCCCACAGCCCCGTCCACCCACACGGCCCCAGGGTCCCCCGCCGCCTCAGCCGGGCCTGCAGCGCCAGGGGTCCCCGAAGCCCCCGGCTCGCTCGCGCCTGCGGCCCCGGCCTCGGCCCTTCTCCCCCGCGGCCGCCGACGGTCCCGCAGCCGGTTTGCGCTCACGCAGCGCGTCTCCCAGGCCGCGGTGGGCGGCCGGCGCCCGGCTCCCCGACCTCGGGGCGTCCCCGCGGCGCAGCTCTTCCCCCACGGCCGCCCGCGCCCGCGCCCCGGCCGGCTGGGCCCCACGCAGCGGCCGGCCGCCCCGCTCATGGCTGCAGGGCCGCGCGCGCCTTCCCCGCCCGCCGCCGAGGCTGCCGCACACACGCACGCACGCACTCCGCGCTCCGGCCGCCGCGGCCCGACCCCCGCCCGGACCCCCGCCCCGGACCCCCCCGGGCGCCCCCCGGCCGCGGCAGGAGCGCGAGTGACGGGGGCGGCGGGGGCGGCCCCGGCTCAGGGTCTCCGGGGCCCCGGGTCCACAGCTCCTGGTGCGGCTTCCCAGAATCCCCCCAGCCCCGGCCCGAGCCCACCTGGCCTGGGGCGCGGCGCGGCTACCGGGAAGCGGGAGGGGGACCGGCTAGGCCGCGCTTCCGGCCGCTCGCCCGGTCGCCATAGCAACGGGCGCAGGGCGGCCTGGGAGCCGTTAGGGCTCCCGAGCCGCCTGGGGGTCCCGGGGCTGCGCGGCGGCGGGCTTGGCAGCCAGCGCACATGGGGCCGGGGCCGGGGCCGTTAGGGCAGAAGCTCGACTGTCTGCGCAGCGCCGGCGGGGAGAGCAAGGAGAAGCGAGCGAGGGAAGGCGGCGCGGACGCGTTATGGCCGCCCGAGGCTCCCGTAGCGCCGTGGAGTCCCGGCGGAAGCAGCTGCGCCCCGCCCAGCACGGGGCCCCGCCCCGCGGCCCCGCCTCCAGGAACGCCGGCCGGCCGAGCGCGGCGAGCCCTCCCGATGGCAGGCTGCGAGGAGGTGAGCGTGTCCGGCTTCGAGGAGTTCCGCCGGGCCGTGGAGCAGCACCACGACAAGACCATCTTCGCCTACTTCACCGGCTCTAAGGACGCCGGGGGGAAGAGCTGGTGCCCCGACTGCGTGCAGGGTGAGGCGGGGCTCGGGGAGCTGCTGCCCGCACGACGGGCTGCCCGGCCAGGCCGCGGCCCGGGCGGGGCAAGGGAAGGGCGGACGAGGGCGTCCGGCGCGCGGGGCGGCTCGCCTCCCGTTCCCAGCCGGCTCCCCGTTCGCGCCTGCTCGAGCCCGGGCACCAGCCCAGGCCCCTCGCATGCTGGCTTCCGCGGGGCGAGAGCCGTTTTCCCGGGGCCGGGGGGTCAGCATGGCTCACATCAACCCGCTCCGCCACCTGCAGGTGAAGGGCTGCGGACTTACCTAGACGCTGCTTCTCCGGGCCAGCTTCCACGGCGGATATGCAGTTATTTTGTGTCTTTTTGTTTTAAGCCGAACCGGTCGTACGAGAGGGGCTGAAGCATATTAGTGAAGGATGTGTGTTCATCTGCTGCCAAGTGGGAGAGAAACCTTAGTAAGTGCCCGTGTATTCCTTGTTTCCCAGGCATGCACTAGACGTGCAAAACTTAGGCGGGAAGGGCCTCGGGACAAAGGTTCTCCGTTCTCAGTATAGTCGGGTAAGTCAAGCCATTAGGAGTTATTAAATACAAATTTTGAGTAATTCAATAAATTTGGCCTAGTCTTAGTTCGGAACTTAACTGTCTTTACGTTTTTTTCATATCGTAGTCAGGCTCTAAAGGAAAACTGCAGAGTCACAAAGTCATAGTCCTCGAGGTTCAATAAATGTTTACAACAAAAACAATGATGACTAAAAGACTAAATGTAGGAATATATTGAATATTATCTGTGAGAAACCACGATCACCTTTTCTTTTCAAAATAGTTGGAAGGATCCAAATAATGACTTCAGAAAAAACCTGAAAGTGACGGCAGTGCCTACACTACTTAAATATGGAACGGTAAGTGTCTTTTCACTGTGCTGGGGCTGCAGTTCACCTGTCAGAAAAGATCTTGACATTTCTTGCCAAATATCACATTGGTGCTCAAGAGTGCATTAAAAATATACAACTTGGATGTCCATTAATAATGCAGATATCTAAATATTAGGTCTTTTTCGTGCTTTCTAAAAGCCACTCCGTTTCAAAATTCTGTAAGCACGGCTCAAGAAAGCTGGTTAACACATCATTCCTGACCATACTAGCAGTTGTTTTCCACTTAATCCAGAATTCTGGTCGAAAAGAAAGGGAACCTCCTCTAGGTTAGCCATGGCCCTGGGATTCTAAATTAAAGACTTGGGGGGAAGGGAATGGCACTGGGCTTGCTGTCTCTCGTTTTAGTCTGCGGAGCCAAGTATTTTAGTGATTCGTCTTCAGGCAAATAGCTTAACTATTTCCTAAGACTTGTTACAACTAGTTGATAGTTTTTGAATGGCATAATTTCTCTGTTGTAAGATGTATGTCACTCAAGGCAGAACACCACTTTGCCTCCTAATACCATTTTTATAGCCATGGGTTAAGATTAGACCGTTCTTCTTTTACAGCCTCAAAAACTGGTGGAATCTGAGTGTCTTCAGGCCAACCTCGTGCAGATGTTGTTCTCTGAAGATTAAGATTTGATGATGGCAATTGTGTCTTGATTTCCTGATCTCCTCTAGTATAAAGGCAATTGCATACTTGCTTTGAATTCATGTTAGCAATAAATAAATAATGATGTAAAAAAAAAACTGGTCTACATCTAAATAGAAAGTGCTTTTAAAATGCCCACAAACCCTTCAGTTTGCTTGTGATATATGGGACTCTAAGATAGAGGTAAGGTAAGTCTTCAGGGGGGACAGTAATAGCACAAGGGCATGTATTATTGGAGGGGATAGAAATACCTCAAAAGTCCCTACCAGTGCAGAAAGTGAGTTCCAGATCTCAAAAGGAGTTCGGATCTTTTACCTTAAATGCCACAAATTGTTCTTCCTAAAGCATCTTCTTTGGCTTTAGAACGTAGAAGTTACCCTAACCAGTGGAGGAGAGCAGAGCACATCTAATCCAGCCTCTGCACAGCCAGCACAGTTCACTGTCTGAATGTGCCCCACTACTCTGGATGAGACCAGTGCAGAGAGGTCAGAGCCCATAGAACCTGGTGGTGGCAAGAGCCCCAGCCTGTGAGTCGGTGGCACTGATCCCCAGTTCCTAGCTGTGTAACCGTAGACAAGTTTCTTAACCTGTCTACACCTCAGTTTCCTCCTTTATGGACAAGGCTGGTTCTGTAAGTGAAGTGTGAACGGGACGACACACGTACCATAGCACCCACCATGTAAATGTTAGTGGTGCCAGATGATTGCACATACTTGAGGCTCCTCATCTTTATTCTAGTCCAAGGTCAAGAGTCCAGTTAGAAGTTAACCATCCATCTTCTCCCTGCCATCACTAGGTCAGTGACCTACCAACGACCGTTCCTTGAAGCCCTCTTGCGCAGCAAGTGGTTTTACAGGTAAGTCCTTCCTGCAGGTCCTGCTCTCTGATTTAAGGAAATCACAGACTCCCTTCTTCTCATTCTGTAGGTAAGAGGGGTAGGGTAGCTCATGTGAGGGACAGGAAGGTCGGAGGAGACAGACTTGCCCAGGCCCCACCGTACGTGAGGAACAGAGCTAGGCTTGGAGTTTGGGACATTTGGTGGCCCTCCCCGTACCCCATCCCTCACTGCAGCCTTAAATTGGTTTAGAGCACCTAACGTTTCTGTTTTTATTCAGTTGGTTGAGTACTAATAATAACTTACAAATCCAGGGAAACCAGAGTACAGCAGTTCTGGTTTGACAGAAGTAACGTATGAACAATACAAAGTTAGCTGGATGAAACAGCACGTTAAAGGTTCAGGTGCACCCGCACAGGGTTAGCTAGAAAGAGTCTGTGCTCGCTGTCCGTGTCTGAAGAGTCTGGTGCGGCCCAGCAGGGCGCGTCACTTCCCCGCAGTGCTGTTCTGCTGCTGCTGCTCAGCCAGCGCTTGCTGGAGGCGCATCCGCTTCCGGGAGTAGTGCTGCCAGTGCAGGATCTGCTGCTCGTCAATAAACTTGGCACACTGAGCATTCACCAGCTCCTTGCGGAAGTGTTCATACTGGAGCAGCTCTAACATGTGCAGACACTGGGGGTACCTGGGTTAGGGTTACAAGTTAGTCATCAACATGATTTAGGTCAGTAGCACCAAGCTGCAATCCACTCACTCACTCAAAAACCATCCGGTAGCCTACCATCTCTAGAACGTTAACTCGGTTCAGTTTGGTAATATGGGGTTCTGTGTTTCCTGCTTCTGCAGAGAAGCTGGTCATCCAAAGTCAGCAGGAAGCAACATTTTCAAAAGTGAAAAAACTTAAGTTCAGAAAGATTAAATAACCTGCCCGAGACCACACAGTAACTGGTAAGTAGAGTCAAACTTTGGGGGCAAACCATGCTATTCTAGTGGTGTGAGGAACATGAACACTTTTTAACTTTAGAAATTATCTGTTTAACTGATAACTACTGGTTTTCCATCAATAGTGATAAAGACAACTTTTATTTAAAATTGAGTCTGTTTTACAAAGAACTATGCACGATACTGTGTTCTAGTCTTCACAAGGACTTACTTCACATATACTGTAAGATTGAGCAACCGTGTCAGTAAATACACTGTAAAGAGAGCCAAGTTTCCAACTATCCGAAAAGGAGTTACAAGGAAGGGGGGAGGCTAGACTGGACCGTGTTATGGAACTACAATTGAAAACATCAGCATGAACCCCTGGCTTTTCACATAGAGACACAGAAACAGACAAGGATTAGAAGTAGACACAGTACACACACACACACACACACACACCCCTTCTTGGCTGTGCAGAGAGGGCCTAGAAGAAATGACTGTGGTACCAACAAGCACACTCAGCGCCCAGATCATGGATTTTCAATAGCACTTTCTAGAGCTCCTCGGGGGAAATGGCTGACTGCAGGGTTAAGGCAGGGAAAGTACAAGATGAGCTGGGAACATCAGCTAATGGCAGAAAGTAAAGTGCTCAAAAAAACTATGGGTTATGTCCCAAGTACTCAGGAGCCAATCTGAAGGGGCTCCTAATGGCCACATCTGGAATCGTTAGAGAAAGAAAACACATAATTATAATCCAGAAAACAAAAATAAGAATCCAAGAGTCCCTGCTGATGTAACTCTTGTAAATGAATAAATAGGGAATAGGAGAATGTTTCTTCCTTACGCCTAAATTACAATAAATGTAGAAAGAACGCTAGAAAATCACAGCAAAAATTGTTTCAGGCAGGTATCAATAGATGCTAAAATTAGTGGGTGAAAATATGATATGAAACAAAGTATTTACATAGTCTCAAAGTATTTCCTCACAAGATACTTATTAAATACAAAGGAAAACTGGTAACTTGATAGGGAGAAACCTGGCAGCCACACCTCAACCAAGTGATCAAAATTAATATCATCAGTAGTAGGTCAAAGTGACTACTACTGATGGGATATACCAAAAAGCCTACAATATCACTTCTGGGTCACAGTCATGGCGGGGGGGGGGGGGGGGGGGGGGGGGGGCGGGGGGGTGGAAGCATCAAGAAACTCAGATTAAAGACTAAGAAGACACAAAGACAAAACGTAGCATAGTGGCCTAGACTGGATACTGTCCCAGATACAGGACGTTAATGAGCCAGTGGACAAAATCAGAATGAGGTCTGTAGACTAGGTAGTACATTAACGTTCATGTTCCCAGGAAGATGTGAACATTTACAATACCTGCGTGAATATATAGGAATTCTCTTTATTTTTCCAGCTTTTTTTTTTCCTTTTTCTTTTTTTTTTTTTTAACTGTCAGAGACAGAAACAGCACGAGCAGGGGGAGCGGCAGGCAGAGGGAGAAGCAGGCTCCCCACTGAGCAGGGTGCCTGATGTGGGACTCGATCCCAGGACCCTGGGATCATGACCTGAGCCGAAGGCAGATGCTTAACCAACTGAGCCACCCAGGCGCCCCTCATGACTCACTTCTTAAATGCAGAGTGTGACTTAGTAGGTCCGGGTGGGGCCTGAGCGCTGCATTTCTAAACGAGCTCCCCAGTGACAGCAAGGATGCTGGCCTGAGGACCACACTGCGTAGCAGGGCCCGATACCAATGCCGTCCCTCCGAGATGATAAAGGCGCGCTATCTACACTCCAAAGATAAGAGTTGCTTGTAGCTATTGGGAGCTAAGCCTCAAATGCCCTGCTCACACCTGACCTGGCTCTTCCCTTTCCATGCAGGCACTGGTAGTTAAAAAGACCTGGGTTTGAGAGGCACCAGGGTGGCTCAGTCGATTAAGCATCCGACTCTTGATTTTGGCTCAGGTGGTGATCTCAGGGTCAGGGGACAGAGCCCTGTGTTGGCCTCCACGCTGGGCATGGAGTCTGCTTAAGATTCTCTCTCCCCCTCTGCCCATTTCTCCCCCGCTCCTCTCTTAAAACAAACAAACAAAAACACCCGGGTTTGAATACCAGCTCTGCCACTCAACAGCTGGGGACCTTTGTACAAGGTACTCAGCCTCTCTCGGGTTTAGCTTCCTCGTCTGTAAACTAATGTGACAACCAAGAGAATGGTCTCAAGTGGCATTGAGTCAATAAACGGAATTTAGACATGCAGTGATTTCTCAAACTTGGAAAAGACAATGCTCAGAGTACATTAAATGACAGAATAAGAATTGATAAATATTTTGATCAGCTACAATTACAGCACTAACCAACAAGAGGAAATAAAAGAAATACAAAAGGAAAGTTCTACATTTAAACTTTTAAAAAGTAAGACATAAATGGAGAACTCCGTTAACGGCACTGATGAAGAACTGAAGGGTTCAAGTGGACATAAAATTCTCAGTAAGTCAGCAATGTGCATCCTTGCCCCTTCCCCCCCAACAAAAAAGTAACATAAACTCAAGTTACACTTACCGAAGGGTAATGCCCACATGAAGAAAAGAAACGTATCTGCTCCAGCACACCCTGACCACACCTGAAAGGCCTGTGTTTAGTTCTTGGCTGAACAGTGGAAGGCACAATTGCAAAACATCCAAAGAAGGGCACCCGAGAAGTGGCTGAAGGGGGCTGAGAAGAGCAGATAGAAGCAGCCCCCTACAGGTGCGGGTGCTGGCTCCTGCTGGAGCTGATGTCTGCGCGCAGTGGCTGCCCCTCAGACCAGGCAGGCACCAACTTGGAAGCACAAGGACCTGCAGTTCTCGGCTTTTCCAGAGTTCGGATCATTGTAAGAGACTTCCCAATCTTTCAATGGTGGCGACTACTACACAAACAAACCCTGTGCAGGAGACTGAATGCCCACAGGGGTTAACCTGCAACCTCTCCTGAATGTGAACATTGGAAGGCCAGTTGCCTCCAGAGGGCACAGACTGGTTCCAGATTAATTCAGGGACAAAACCAGAAACATGGGTGGAAGCTACACAGGGATATATTATATCCCAAAATAAGGACAAACTTTCCAGCATCCAGCTAACGGTGGACTCGGGCTGTCCCTGAATAGAGCAACAGGTGCTCACTTAGTCCGCTCCAGAGTGTAGACGGCCAACCCAGCAAGGCTGTAGGGGAGATGTTTGACTGAGCCTGTGGCTCCGTGCCCACACAGTCGCCAAGTCCACACACACACAACACCTAATAAAAAGTCTTTTCTCTGGATTATTAAATGAGTAAGTGACTGTTTATAAAGGACGAGTAGGGGTGCAAAGGGTCCTGCAGGCAGAAGGGTGTGGGCTTTGTGAATCAGTTGACACAGATCAAAAAAGTGGCTTGAATAAAGGACAAGTTTGAATCAGTTTCCTATCAAACATGGTTTAAAAAAAAACAAGAAGTTTCACTCTTGCTTTCTGACTACCTACTTAAGACAAAGAAAAGTGAGAGTTCAAGGTTTAAATAAGTACAGTGCTTGGCACACAGGAGGCCCTAAAAACAGCAGCTACAGACATACTGGTTTGGCTTTTTTGATTTTGTTTACAAATTAAAGGTTTGTGGCAACCCTTCATCGAGCAAGTCTACAGACACCATTTTTCCAACCACAGTTGCTCACTTCATGTCTCTGTGTCACATTTTGATAATTCTCACATTTCAAACTTTTTATTATTATCATATTTGTTATGGTGATCTATGACCATGACTCCCTAAAAGCTCAGACTATGGTTAGCATTTTTTAACAGTGTTTTTTAATTGAGGCATGTACCCTTTTTTTGACTTAATACTATTGCACACTTAATAGCCTGCAGTATATTGTTAACATAACTTTTAAATGCACTGGAAAACCAAAAAACTCATTTGGCTCAATTTATTGCAATATTCACCTTACTGCAGCGGTCGGAAGCAAACCCACAATATCTGAGGCATGCCTGTATTAAGAGTCAGGTAAGGTCACTTCCTCCAGAAAATCTTCCTTGTGAGTACCCCATGTTTTTTAATTTTCAGCCTTAGGCAATACCACTGCATCTATAGATGGTGGGTTCATAAGGGTCAGAAACCCAGTGAAATAAAGCAATTACCTAATTGGCCTTTGTGTTTCAAACCAAGCAGCTATTTTGTTTATGCTAAGCCTTGTACATGGTAGCCCCAGCCACACACATTTTAAGATAAAGTCAAAAAACAGAGCCAGATCATATAGGGCTTTAGTGCAAGAAAAGAGATAGGACTTTGTTCTGCATGCAATGGGAAGCCATTGAAAGGTTCTAAGCAAGAAAGGGTCATGTCATAATTCACACTTTTGAAAGATCAAGTTGGCTTCTGTGTAGAAAACTGTTTTGCTTGGTTTGGCTTGGGGGAGGGTGGACCCAGGAGGAAGGAAAGAGCAGAAGCAGGGTTACCAGGGAGTGGACACCGCGATAATCCAAGCTGGAGATGAGAATGTCTTGTACTAAGGTGGAGGCAACTGAAAGAAGTGGAGAGATTCAAAATATATTTTTTCCAACATAAAACGAGAAAATCTGTTAAATAACATGTTTTGGAATATAATAAACTATACATATATTTAGGACTATAAAAATTAAACTTACTTTAGATACTTGGCATATTCTGGTTCTTTCCAGTAAAGCAAGTACTTAAGATAATTAACAAAAGCTTTGTCTTTGAAGTAACCTCTTTGGGCAAGAACTGAAAGGCATAAAAAAAAAAAATCTGTAGAGCAAACCAATCTTCGGACTACTGATTTGTGACTCCTAACATAAAGCATCTGCTTAGATAACTTCCCCACCACCGACACACACTGAATTCAAAACATAAGCCCCAGTTTGTCCAACAGACACATTCCCATGTAAGTGTGGCAGTAATTTCATTGGACTGAGTATATATAAAAATAGATATTAGGAATTGCAATTCTTCCGTGAGAGATCACTAAAAGCTACCCAATTCAATAAAGTGCTCAACAACTTACAGTTAAGGTAATTGGGGTTGGCTAAGCACTGCACAAATTCCAGCTCCAACTGAAACCGAAGTCGATTTCCAGCATCATCTAGGAGGGAAGATAGCAAAAATCACCCAAAATAAAGGTCACTATCTATAATCCTGGTTTGTAGGAAGAAAACAGCAGTAAAGAGACTTGAGTATTGCTGAGGCGTATTTCTGCATAAATTCGGGCATGGGATGGTCTTCCTAAGCTGGGTGTGGGAGGAGATAACACTTCCTTACACGTCTAGGGAAAGCAGAGCCCTGATTCATGAGACCACGTTAGAAGCTTCTCTAAAGAGAAGTCGTCAAAGGACACAGGTGCACCCACAGGGCGGGATATTCACCCCGGGGAGCCACCGCCCGAGGGTCTCCAGAGTGTGACCATTGCGGGAAGGCTGTAAGAACTGTGCCTTCCTGCGCTGCAACAACTGAGCGCTACGTCCACCAGGAAAACGTCTAGAAGGCACGGTGCACAAGAGTCGACCGGGCGTGCGCCTGTGCAAGAAATGTCACAGGCAGAACACCACACGGTCTGGCGACATCTCAAACCTAAGCAAGCTCATCCGGGACGCAGAAAACCAGCCAGGAGGAGGCGGGTCAGGATCGCGCCCTCCCGCTGGGGCCTGGCCGGGGGGGCCAGGGACCTGGGGTTCGGGAGGTCAGGGGGTCGGGGCCGGGTGGCCGGGGGTTCGGGAGGCTGGGGGAGTCGGGGCCCGAGGGGTCAGGAGGCCGGGGCCGGGTGATGGGGGAGCTGGGGTTCGGGAGGTCAGGGGGTCGGGGGTTCGGGAGGCCAGGAGGGGTCGGCGTCTGCGCGGCAGGTGAGGAGGAGGGAGCCGCGGACAGGAGCCCCGCCGGAGTTACGCGGGCAGGAGGCCCGGGGAAGCTGTGTTTGCGAGGGCTCCGGGCGCTCCTTACCTGTCTCCATAGCGACGGCCGCAGCCATCCCGAGCAAAGGCGCTAAGCCGCCACCAGCCCAACGAGCAACCGCCCGCAAGTGCCGGAAGCCGTGGCCCCTCTTCCTGTCCCGGGGCCCTGTGGGATGCGGGGCGGGCCCGCTCAGGCCCCGCCCACCGGCCCCGCGCAGACTCCCAAGAGGCGAGAGGCGGAGCTGGGCGCAGCGAGGGCCCGAGGGACAGAAACCCTGCGTGTTGACCCGGGTGCCCGCCCCCGCAGGCACACCGTGCCTCCTCCACCCCGGTGCCTGCGGAGACGGAACCGGGCTGGCGTCACTCCTTACCCTGTGACGTAGCCTCGGGGGTCCCGAGCGCCTCGGGGAGTGCCTGCAGCGCGGACACGCCCCCCTGCTGGGGGTGCTCTCGGTCGGGGGGCAGCCCCCCGCGGCGCTCAGAGAACCCGTCCCCCTCCCGGAGGTACCCCCGCGGCCCAGGCGCAGGTGCGCCGACCCGCCGGGAGGCGCCCCCCCCCAACCTTGGCCCGGGCGCAGGTGCGGGGACCCGCCGGCCGCGGGGTCGGGACTCGGCCAGCACCGTCCACCGCGCTGTACCCGGGGCCGCCCTGCCTCTGACCCCGAGAACCACCTTTCCTTGAAGCCAGCACTAGAGGTTTTCAGGCCGCGATACTCCATCAGTTGAGTTGATGGATACGGAGGCTGTTGGCCCCCCAACAACCTTCCTGGCTCCAAACTTTGGGGACAGGGAACAAGCCGAAATCGTGACCAGTGGAAGGATTACACGCCGACCGAAAACGCCGGGGGGCAAGACGTAGACCATTAATTAACTAATTGGCCTTTGTGTTTCACACCAAGCAGCTATTTTGTGTATGCTAAGCCCGGTACATGATACCCCCAGCCACAAACATTTTAACGTTTTAATATACGTCAGGTGTAGTTAAAAGTGACGCATGAAGGTCAACGACACCCACAAAGGAGAGTAATCTTGGAAGGGAACCTGACCCCAGGTCTCAGGAGGGGGAGGGGAGGACTCTGTGCCGGGCCGTTGGGCTGTGGGCCAGGCAGACAGGGTCCCGGCTCTCCGGAGCTCACGGTCTGGTGAAGGGGCAGATGACAAATGATAGAAGGACCGTTTTCTGTTGTGCTGAGCACAGGTCATGTGACAGAGAATCCAGGCGGGGGGCTCTTTACACAGAAGGGTCAGGGAAGGCCTTGCTCATCAGGGGACTTTTGACCTGAGGTTTGCGTGGGTGAACAGGGAGCCACGCAGGGATCTAGAGTGCATGCTAGGCAGAGGGGACAGCAATGCAAAGGGTGGAAGCAAGCTTGGAATGTTCAAGGAACAGAAAGAAGACCAGGGTGGTCAGAGCCAGGGGGGGACAGAATGGCATGGGAGAGAGGACGTCGGAGAAAGAGGCGGAGGCAAGTCCGTAAAGGGTCTTGGAAGCCGCAGGAAGGAGCCTGGGTTTTATAAGGTCGGTGGGAAGACACCGGAGGGTTTTCAGCAGGGGAGTGGCGGCGTGATGCAATACGCATTTTTAGAAATACCCTGGTTTCCTCGTGCAGCATGTAGGACAGTCGTTCTTTTTTTTTTTTTAAAGATTTTATTTATTTGAGAGAGAGAGAGAAACAGCATGAGAGGGGAGAGGGTCAGAGGGAGAAGCAGGCCCCCCGCTGAGCCGGGAACCCGATGTGGGACTCGATCCCAGGACTCTGGGATCATGACCCGAGCCGAAGGCAGTCGCTTAACCAACTGAGCCACCCAGGCGCCCATAGGACAGTCGTTCTTGACCAGGGACGATTTTGTCCCCCAGGGGACATTCAGCAATATCTGGAGACATTTTTGTTGCAGTTTGAGGGGTGGTGGTGACAACTGGTGTCTAGTGGGTGGAGCCCAGGGATGCTGCTGGACATCTTACAATGCACAAGACAGCGCTCTTCCCCAAACAAAATGTCAGTAGCGTGAGGCTGGGGAAACCCTGATGTAGGGAGCAAGAGAGGTCTGGTTGGAGATGATAGTGGCTCACACTAAGGGGGCAGAGGGCGAGCTAGAGACAAGACAGCAGATAGGGAGGTGCTGTGGAAGCAGAGCTGACCTGACAGATGGCTGTGGAAGGTGAGTAAAAAGAATGGGAGAATCGAGAAGGACTTGCACGTTTGGACCTGAGCAGTTTGGTGCACGGTACTGCCATGTCCTGGGATGATGCCTATAAAATGCCCACATGGAGCCGCTGAGCCCCAGTGGTATAAAATGAAGGGTCATCGGTTCACACATGGCACTTAAAGCCATGGGATTGTCACCTGCCAGTCTCTTTGTTTTATGCCACGTGAATGAATGTAAGATGTCCCTCAAAGAGTATCACCTGGCCAAACACCTTTTCTCCTCTCCCCCCACCCCCTCCCCCGCACAGGGACCTGCCTAAATTTCCCTTGTCCATAGTCTTCTGGTGGCCACCAACAAGGGAGAAAGTTTGCACTAAAATGGTAGACAAATCTTGGCTTTCACTAGGGAAAGGTCTTAAATGTCCATGTCTTGGGTTTTGTGTTTTTGTGTGGGGTGGCTGGCTAGCAGCTCTAGTCCCAGGTCCTCGTGGGATGGTGGGAAAACTTCTGAACTTAACAGTGGCTCCCACCTGGGGCACTTTTGCCCCGCAGGGGACGATTGGCAGTCTGGAGATATTTTTTTCATGGCTGTGGGGGGTGGGTGGAGGCTACTGGCATCTGGCGGGTGGAGCCCGGGGATGCCGCTGAACATCCTAGGACGCGCAGGGCGTCCCCCCACCCCATCCTGGACAACAAAGGATTACTCAGCCCAAAATATCAGTAGTACCAAGGTTGAAAATTCTAAAGATTCTAGCAGCTTTAAAAGGTTAGAGCATGGTCCACGGGGGGCGGGGAACCCCCCACCTCCTAGCACGATTTGCTGGGAGGGATATTTATGGGATATTTATGGGATATTTACCGCCAGAGGAAAGGCGGGCAGTCTCATCTAGAGGGTGTAAGTGAGCTTGATTCTGCGGGACCTCATGGTGAGGGGGAGTACATGCTCCAGCCAGGCACTGCACTAAATCATTACCCACGCAACTTCATTTAATTATGGGGCAGCGCCCTGGGCTGCCCAGTGGAACAGGGGCTCAGGCCAGGGGGTTGTTATAAAACCCCAGAGGCTACCGGAAGCCTTCTGACTCATAAAACTTCTGCTGTAAACTAATAATTAGGTTTTGGAATTTAGTCTCAGGTGAGCTTACTAATTCTTTTTAACATGACAGACCATGTGCATTATATCCAAACACTCTCTTAATCAGTGTTGTTGTTGTTTTTAATGAACAAAGTAGTTACTTTTTTTAACAGTGTTTCTTATTAATGCTTTTATTACAAAGGTGATAATGTGTTAAATGTAACATGAAATAATTGCAAAATGTGTAAAGGAAAATTTAATAATTTGTCATCATTCCTTTCCATCTTGTGGAAATCATTGTCAGCAACCTGGTGCATATCCTTCCAAACCTTTCTGCATCCCCTGATTCTGTTCCCCTTTCTCATCGCACCTTGAAGACTGGTTCGAAGGTTACTGTGGAAAAGCCAAAGGCTTGCTTTCTAGACGATTGATTCTTTTGAAAGGATATGGGCTTCTGGTAGCTTCTTTCTGTTTGTCACACTCGTTCCATAAGAAGGTTTGTCCCTCCAATCTCATTTATCCTTGTTTCAAAGTTGAAATCCAGAGAGGCATACACAGAGCAAGAAAGTATCAAAAAAAAAAAAAAAGACAGAAGTCATGAAGTAAAAGAATGTCACGAGATATTTGTCACATATACGGCTTGACAGATCCGATTCCACAGCTTTGGAATGACCCCATGTGTTAAAGAAGTTTCTATCTGTGACGTGGCATCTAAGGCTGAGCCCAGTATGTGGACAAGAGAGCAAAGTGCAAGGCATCCCCTGCGGAGAAAGCCTTTAATGGCTCCATCCGCTAATCCCTTAGATTTATTGAGCTAGGTAATAGCCGTGACTTGCCTTCAGTTCTTGCCAACCAGGTTAGTTTGGAACTAAAGATGTGTACAAGTCAGCACCTGTCATCCTCATAATTCATCTATTTATATAAAAGCCGAGAGCAGCTTTCAAAATTCAGCATATGTGTATTGCTGTCAGCTGTGTTGAAAACACTTGAGAGGAAAGAGTGCCTTTCATAGAATACTCTTTCCCAGATCACACAAGCCATGGGAAGAAGCCGCGAGGCACCCAGCTCAAGCCCTCGTGTAGATCCCGCCGGGTTCCTGGCACTCTCAGGGTGGCTGGCCCAAACGCCTGCCCTGGAGACGACCCAGCTTCTAGGGACCTCCTCATGCTGCAGCCTGGAGAAAGAGTTCACTGCTTAAAAACATTTTTGGCAGGGTTGGGGTGCCTGGGTGGCTCAGTTGGTTAGGCATCGACTCTTGATTTCGGCTTGGGTGGTTTCAGGGTTGTGTGATCGAGCCCCGTGTCTGCTATATGCTGGGTGTGGACCTTGCTTAAGATTCTCTCTCTCCCTCTCTAAAAAATACCATCACAGTTGATCTTCACGGTATAGATGGAAAAACTAAAGCCCACAGAAGCCAAAAATAGTTTGGCCAGGAGCAGAGGTTCTGTCGGGTGCTGCTCACTGCCTCCCAGAACGGTTTCTTTTGAGAGCCAAGTAAAGGCGAGCATGGTGTCCCTACGTTTAACTTGCAGGGGGCACTGTGGACAACACCAAAAACAGAAAGAGAAGAGAGACAGCCGTAACACTTACATGGAGTTCTACAGAGCACCCTCATCACCGGGAGATGCCGAAAACATCTCATTATGGTTTCAAAGCTGTTATTAGGTACACACACGTCATCATGTCTTCTTGATAAATGGGTCCTTTATCATTATGAGATGACCATCTTCCCCCCACCCCGGCAATATTCTCTGCTCTGGAATCTTATTTTATTTGATGTTAACCCAGCTGCCCAGCTTTCTCTTGAACATCGTTTGGACGGTGCATCTTTCCCACTCCCTCACTTTCAACCCATTTGCGACTTCATATTTAAGGCGGACTTGCTGTAT